AATATCCGCAATGAACAAATTTTAAATTTAGGAATGAATATCACAGTGAGATGAAATACCTGGTTCTTGTTTATAAAAGTCCCATGTGTACTAGCCAGATCATAAAGGTGAGCATCTCCATTGCTCTTGAACTGGAGTACTGGAAAATCGGGAACATTGGGTGAAATAATAGCATCAACATCAATCAAATCAGCAAGATACTTACACAATATTCATCAAGTTCATTGCTTGCATGCTGATGAATGAAAATCAAATAGCTACAAAATACTTGATCAACAAGCTAGTTGATCCTCATACTAAGAAACAAGTTATCATCATGCATCAAATCAAGTCTGATTCAGAGTAAATTCAATATAAGCTACAATGATGGGCCATCTACAAAAACATATCAATGAATTAATAGAAATGAAATTCTACCAAAAAGAATACAAGCTCCTTAGGCGACCAACATAACTAGAATGTGTAAGATAGTTCTTAAATCATTACATGTTTTAGTTGATTTAGCTCCACTGGGTTCGTTACTGTCCTCTCGTATGTTTCATGCATGCTTAAATTGCAAACCCCTCCCCCATAAAAAAAAAAAAAGACACCCTTTAGTGCAAGTTTATACTTTTTTTCCATTGCAAAAACGGAAATTATAGCATAAATTTAAAAAGTGGAAACAGGAGTGTGTACCAGCATGAAATCGAGAGATGGTCGGGTGATCAAGGACAAAATCACAGAGATCCACACGCCCGAACATGTAAGCCCCCTTCTGATTCCTGGGTGGTCACCAAACAACAAGATTCACTTGAATTCATACACATTAACAACGCCAAAAATTAATGACCAAACATAGCATTCTTTTTTATCATGAAAGACTTACACATCAAATTGATCGACGATTGAGCCATCTTTCAAAATTTCAAGGAAATAATGGTGGCACGGACGTCCACTCCACGAAGGAATCGTATAAGGCACTGCAATATTTGGGCGTTGCTGCTCTTGTTTACCGTCATTAGCACTGCTTTCTTTTGTTGCGGAGGTCGAGTTCTCCGTGGTACTCTCAGTGGGTTGGGGAACGTTTTGAGGAGGGTTTGATAGGGATTCTTCTAGATGGGAAGTGGTTTGGGATTCTAGTGAGTCTGACTCAGAGGGATTAGGGCTTTTGGGAGGTGGGGGTCTCATAGGAGCCTCTATTGGTTCGTCGAGGGCATAAGTTTGGGATTCTGTGGAGGGGACGGTGGTGGCGGAGCTTCTGGGAGGTGGAGGACCCATGTCCGTCGTCATTTTGAGAGAGAGAGAGATAGATACAGCGAAGAGGGCAGGCAAACGACGTCCTGAGGACTTGTGTGCAATCAGATGAGGTACCTGAAATTATGCGATCCGGCCCTTGGCTCTAACCCGAAGTCATGCCCTGTACTGTATTTGTAGGGTCAAGGACAAATTACACAGTAACCCCCTCAACTATGATTATTTTTTCACTTTATCTCAATTTGTGCTTGTCATCCTTGCGCAGGATCATGCTAATCTTTTCCATATCGTTCCAATTTTGTCACATGTCCCTGAGTGGACACTTTATCTCATCAACTATCATAGCATTACTCTTTCCACATGGATAATGCTATGTTTACCAAATCTTCAATTTCAAATGATATGACATAATTTTTACTATCAGATAAATAAGTCTCATTAATATTCAATAATTGACATTGTGCTAGATAGAACATTTTGTAATAAAATTTGATAAATATAGCATTACACTTTTCACATCGCTCTCTCAATTATGAATTAGTTTCACTTTACCCTAATTATTAACTATCATTACATATTTAATAAAAAATTATTTTATTTTTTCTCCTGAACTATGTAATTTTTTCACTTTATCACGATTCATTAACAATTTTCATTCAAAAAGATAACAGATATTGGCGATTGGGATAATGTGAATAGATATTATATAATCATATACCATCGAATTTGCATTGTGTATGATAAAAAAATATATATTAAAAATTAATTAAAAAATATAACCAGTTAATTCAATTATAAATAAGATTTGTCAGTACCAAATTCTTGTCCGATAATTTTGTGTTGGTTTCACTTCAAATCGACAGTTGTTTTTATAAATTAATAGTCCTCTCTGCGTCAATCTCAATCCGAGCCATTGGTTTGGGGTTCATTACCAAGGTCATCGGGAAGAATCCATTATCAATTTATAAAGAATTTTCGACAATGCCCAATAGGTAAAAATAAAAGCTCCAACAGATTCAATATGTTTTCCCCTTGTTCGGAAGTGGTATAAAAAACACAATCAATTCTAATATAAAAGACACTAACCACTGATTTAATCATTCAAACACAGAATTAAAGAAGGGTTAGACTAAACTGCCTAAATGATTATGTTATGAACTATGAAGCACGGATACAACATCAAGGTCGACATACTCGGATCAGATATGATTTTTAAGACATGAGTGTTTTTTAAGTATTATCTACTATTAAATGTTAAAAGAGTATAAAAAATGAGTTAGTTACACTCGTAATCTTAAAAATAAATAATTGTAAACAAATCAACTAGTTAAATATTGTTATGATTCTTTTAATTAGTCACGCTCATTTTACACATATCTATATCTACACTATTAATAAAAATACCTTAACATGAAATTTTTTTAATTTCCTATATTATCCCTACTTAAATTTCTATATCCAATCATACCCTAATCTCTTATCTCATTTGATTTAAACAATGACAATTTAATATATCAATGGTGTATATTACTCCATGGGAAGGTTAATAGACATTTTTATTCAAGTCTTCTCCTTCTCTGCATGATGGAAGTATAATTGCAACTATCATTTAAGGCAATAAAAACATGATAAATAGTATGTCATTATGAATCAAAGTTAAGAAAGTTAAAAAAAATTGGTGCAAATGAATTACAAAGGGCATATGTCGCAGGTATAAATTCATCCCACCCTCAATCCACAACAGTCATTTAGTTACGCAAATTACAAGAAGTCTAATTTAACAACAAAATCTTCATTTTAATTCGAAATACCATAAATAAAAATTGAAAAACATTGCTATGGTATTAAAATCAATTAAAACATTAAGGACTTGATTATTCCATTTGAAATTCCAAAAACCAAGTCAAAACATGACTCAGAGTATAAAACTTATAATGCTCAAATAAAAATTATACTTCAACTTAGGTCACGTGTAACGCACGAGTGCATTAACTAGTATATCATAATGAGAGTAAAAATTAATATTTTTGTTTGCTATTGTTAAAAAAAAAAAAATTATAATTTTTAAGTCGTTAAATAATAATAACATATAAAACATATTTTATTATAAATGTATCACGGCCGTACCTATATCCTATTTTTCTAAATCTTGTTGAATTACTATATCCTTATTGTATCTTATTTCTGTCACGTATTTGTACTTCCTAGATTACGATGACCCAGACACAACAGGTAAAACAGCTTCTTCGGCCCATTTGGAGCAGAGTATGCATTGATCCCCATCTTATTTATCAATTCCTAACAGGAGCCACTNTGTATCACGGCCGTACCTATATCCTATTTTTCTAAATCTTGTTGAATTACTATATCCGTATTGTATCTTATTTCTGTCACGTATTTGTACTTCCTAGATTACGATGACCCAGACACAACAGGTAAAACAGCTTCCTCGGCCCATTTGGAGCAGAGTATGCATTGATCCCCATCTTATTTATCAATTCCTAACAGGAGCCACCCCTAGCACTTATCAGGTAAAGGTTGGAAGCCATGAATGATTCGAGTCCCAACTGATAAGGTTTACACTTCACCAAAGAAGATAAAAAGAGCCATATCCTTCAAAAACTTGGATAGCTTGAGGAGAAAGGAAACTACAATCATTTTTTTTTAGGAATTACTCTTGGGAAAAGGAAGAGCTTCATTGCCAACCATATATGATACAGGCAGCAACGAAAACATCTATAAAATAACGTTAACCATGAAAATAAGGATTGATCGTTACCATATTCAGTATTGGAGGTAAACATTTTACAGAAAAATACCAAAAGAAAAGGTTTCTATTCACCAACATAGAAACCAAAGATTGCTTTGGCTCAGAGAGACCCCTCAAAAAATTACGAGTAACAGTGAAAATAAAGAGGGAAAGCAGGTGCACAAAGCAAAACCATTTGCTATAAGTGTAACAAGATTACATAATCCAGCAATATAACAGGAAGCATATTTATGAAGGTGGGATTGGGTAAACAGATTTCACTTTCGATTCTAGTAAAGCAACATATTTGTCAAGCATCGAAATTACAGCTTCAAATTCAGTCACTTGCTTCTCTATCGCATCAATTTGCTCAACATACTCACCAAAGCTACCACTTTTAGACTTTAACTGCTCTACGAAAACTCTTAACCCAGAAGCCACATCACCAAAGCCTTTATACTCTTCTGCCACTCTGACATTCATTTTCTCCAAAAGTTCAAGAAGATCATTTGTTCCCTGCGAAATACAAACAACTCAAAGCTGTCAATTCTAAAGAAATAGTATATTCTTATGAATACCAGAAGTAACCTCAACATCACGCCCAAAATCATCATGATGAAAACAGAGGAAGCAACAAAGGATTTTGGCAAAAATTCAAACCATAGCGGGAGGTAGAGGTAAAATGAGGAAAATATGGTTCTATGATGGATGGAGTTATTTAAACGTTAAATGTCAGTTAGCGGCAGTTTCCCAAAAAAGTCCACAAGGCTTTTCTATCGTCAATGATCCAATAGATTTGTCATGTATTGATTTAGTTTTATAAAAGTAAGCATTTTTTACATTAACAAAGCTAGTAATCCCCCCCCCCCGGGGGGCGGATAAATATCCACTCTTTTCCACCCTAATAGATACCAAAGCCACTAGTGCTCAGTAGAAAACTACCAGTGAAAAGGAAAATTTTTGCCCCAAAAGTCTAAACGTTAGGAGGAGCAATCTTCCCTCCATTGGAGAAAATATTACACCATGTCATTACGCTAACATGGTGTAACCGTCCACTAATAACGCATCAAGTGGACAAGTGAATCTCCCACCATTAAATAACTACCCATCTATGTCATGTAATAACTACCTCATGTAGAAAATTGGTTGCATGGCAGTTGCTTTCTTACATGGGACCAAGAATTCATACCTACGACCCATTGAACATGCTTCCTTGCTAAAGAGAATCAGCCATAAGTGCCTGTGCAGAATTCAGCATCTAAAGAATCTTATGTAATCTTAACTTTCAATGAAATCTTAACTAGGGAAAAAAACCAAAAACATGAACTAAAAAAAATGATTTGTAAGAACTCACAAATAAAAAATAAGATTTGACCGAAATTCGCCAATGCAGATAAGTACGTTAAGAATTGAGATATAACATTTGGCGGAAAAAAAAAAGAAAGAAAGAAAGATACATGACAAGCAAGGAGATCTGAGATCATTTACAGACAACATGAGGAAAAAAAATTAAATTAAATCAGTTAACAAACAAAATTGTCACATAAATTTGAGTCTAGAGTGATGAATCTAAATTGACAAAACCTTTTATCAATTCAAAATGGAAACAACCGTATTATGTATGGTTGGAATAAAGATTCGAGTTTTGCTTTCTTTCAAACGCATTTCAGTGACTAGATTTCAGGTCCCTGGCACATTTAAGTTTTGTGTGTAAAATGAAAATTGATGCCGAACCCTAGAATATGGAATTCGAGGAGTATAAGTGAGAGAAACTAGAGAGAGAGAGAGAAAGAAAGAGTACCTGAAGCTCGCCTTTGATCATGATGGAGAAATTGGTGGAGAGATCGTTTAGCGACTCTGCGAGTTTGTCTTGCTCCTGTACACCGTCCTCCATTGCTGCCATGGGAGTTTCGTTCGGAACAGACCAAAGAAGTGGGATACCCAAAACAAAAATCTGTGCTTGAACATACGGCAACGTGCCACCCTCTTTCGAAAACCCGTCCGACTCCAAAACCCGACTAAACATACGGTTCCCAATTTGATTAATCGGATATAAATTGTTGGGTTAATTATATTGAAAGTCCTAAAGTATGGGTTTTGTCCCATTTTTATTCTCAATATTTTTATTATACCATTTTAATCTCTGAATTATTGAATATGTTTCTATATAATCCTTCAAGCAGACTGCCCCCAGATTTCTTACATTTTTTTATTATAAATTTATCACGTAATATTTAAATATGGGTAAAAAAATAATTAGTTTAATTCGTGACCAAATTTTTAATCAATTTTTTGTCAAATAACTATTCAAATTTTGGTTAAGAACTACTCAATTTATTTTTTGCCCTATTTAAGTATTACATAAAAAGTTTATGATAAAAAATTATTAGCAATTTAAATATTGTCTACTTTAAAGACCATAAAAAAATATATTTAATACTTCAGCGATCAAAATGATACATTCGACATATTGGGGACCAAAATGAAACAATTAGACAAACCCCATATTTTGAGACCTTTAGTCCAATTAACCCTAGATTGTTTTCTTTTGTACCGATTCAACAGTGAAATAAAACAAAATTAAAGATTGTTGAAAAGGAAACCATGTTTAAATCTATAATTTAAAACATAGTAGACTTCAATAAATTCATCTGACGGTTTCAAATAAACTTATCTAATGATCACCAGAATTCCTCTTTAAACCATTCAAATTAAATTTCCCCCCAAATTCATCACTTCTCAATTATGTTGCACCATATCTTCAGACACGAGTTACCTCTAGTAATGAAATATAACAAGACAATAATGGTTATACTAATATTTTGGATTGTGGATTACAGCTTTGGTCATTTGATTCATCGTAAAACAACAAATAAGCAACAAATTTAACCTAAATAAAACAATCTCAAATTTAACCTAAGAAAAAAAAAATCATAATAAGGTAGTAAATCCATTAATCATCCAGTGGATTTTGATTGCAAGACTTCCAAAACATTGTGTTAGAAGATAATTCAATACTATAAAAATTAAGTAAAAGAAAAAAATAGGTTAAAATCAAGGCCTAAAAAATGTTTAAAGACCTAAAAAAATTATTTCAGGGACCTAAGTAGCCATTTTAGTGGCCTATACTTAGAGGTGCAACTCGGTCGGACTGGGCGGATTGAGGAGTCAATCTTAGGTCTATAATTCTCAATCGTAACTCTAACCTTGACATTAACTCAATCTCAACTCGAGTATTGTCTAAGTTTAATTTGGACGGGTTTGAGTTGAATTCCGGTTATGTTATTCAAACAGATTTCAGGTTGGGTTTGGGTTATGTAATTTAGACTAATTTTGGTTTAAAATTCAAGTTAAGTTCATTCAAGTCTGATAATCAGCATGTTGTTTTAAACATGATACATACTACATATTATTTACCTAAAATAACAACCAGTAACTTCAATCAAATATTTAACACAAATATCATAGTATTTAAAGCAAAAAAATCAATGTTTAACATAAAGACATAATAACTAAATGTTTAACATAAGGTTGAACCAAAAGATTGATCTCTTGTGTTTTAACTTGTTAGTTATTTTGCTCTATTGATTTATATATTTATTTTTAAATATGTTCGGATTGAGCCCAATTTAGAATTTGAGTTGAACCTGGAAACTCGAGAACTACCCAAATTTAATTCAAGTTAGAGTTTTTTCAATCCAGACTCAACCAAAGTATTAAAAACTTCAACCCAATTCTGATTGGCTCACCCAAATTGCACCCCTACCTATACTTAGGATGGCCACAACCGTTTCAAAATGAATTTTTAATCCAAATTGAATTCCAACAAAGCAAAAGAAGCTTATGTAATCATTATATTTTATGAAGTACGGAGACTCAAAAAAAAGTAACGTATTTGTGTCGGACACTGATCTTCATCGTGTCTAATATTCTTTTATTTGTGTCCATAATTAAATGATAAAAAATTATTTTTCAACACACCCAACACTTCATGGTCATTAGATAAAGTCTACTACTAAATAATAAATATTTATTGATATGTGGTTAATAAAGTTGAAAATTTTGATTATTAAGTATTTTATACTATGACATAACATATAATTATCGAGACTAGATATGTTAAAGTTGTAATCAAAATATAACAAAAAAGAATAATCGAGAAAATAAGACTAACTATTTAAATTATATATGTACAAAAAAAATGATAATTATTGTGATTATAATATTAGACTTAAAATTCACATTAGATAATTAGACACAACATTAATTTATCACAAAATACTGAATATTTTATAAATTACATTATCTATATAATAAATTAGCTAGATTATTTATCTTGACCTTTTCGCGGCTCAAATCGTTTGAGAATTATTAATCCGACGATCCTAATTAAACTTAATCCTATGACTCTCATATCTCATATAACTTTCTCTCTCTCTCTCACCCCTATATCTAAGACGTTTTAACACATACTCTCAAATCTCACCTCTCTTTCTCTTTCTATCTTATATATCCTTTAAACACACATTCTATATCTTATAGAATTCTCTCTTTCTTAGATGTTTTTAAATTAGACGTCTGTTTTAAACACACACTATCCCATCGAAAAAAATAATAATAATTCAAAATTAAACTAATCACCAATAAAAAAATAACAAATGATACCAGTTGCACAAAAAAATCAACAAAATTCAAAGTCAAGCTAACTAACAATAAAAAAATAATAATGACTAATAAAAAAAATAAGTGAAACCAATTGCCAAAAAAAAAATTCAAAACCAAATATATATATTTTTTTCAAGTTGCTGACATTCAAACCCAAGCTAATCACCAATAAAAAAATCAAATATTTGAGTAATTTTATAGAATGAGAAAATATTTGAATGCTAATTTTTTTTTCAGTTTGTAGACATTGAAAATTAAACTATTCACCAATTAAAAAAAACAAGTAAAACCAATTGCACCAAAAAAATAAAAAAAATTGAAGTCAAGCTAATCACCAATAAATAAATAAAAACAAGTGAAACAAATTGCACTAAAGAAATAAAATATTCAAAGCTAAGCTAATCACCAATAAAAAAAATAACAAGTAAAACCAATTGCACCTAAAATACATAAAAAATTCAAAATCAACCTAATCATTAATAAAAAAAAATAACAAGTGATTGAGTTTATTATTATGTTATGGTATTGGGTTGAATGGTGACAATTGTGATAAATCCATGCGTCTTATAAATTAGCAAGATTTTATTCATCACTTAAAAATTGTAAATTTTATTAGGTTTCGTTAGTATTTTTTTTCCTGAGGTATTTGTATATATGGTATTGTTCTGGGGAGTTTTTTGTACATTTTTGTGACAGTTATATTAATATGGATGATATGGTTGATAGTATATTTTGGGTCATTTTTAAAGAATTTGTATAAATAATTTCAGGTCATTTTCTTTTTCAAGTTACACAATTACTTGTCATTTTTTTATATGTTATATAATGCATTCAGTCATGGGCGGTGATTAGTTATCTGATAAATTATATTTATATAATAAAATACAATACAATTCAAATTTTAAAAGATAAATAAAATAACTTTTAATTTTCANTGTCATTTTTTTATATGTTATATAATGCATTCAGTCATGGGCGGTGATTAGTTATCTAATAAATTATATTTATATAATAAAATACAATACAATTCAAATTTTAAAAGATAAATAAAATAACTTTTAATTTTCACGATTGAGATCTTTTTACATTTTACTTTTAAATTAATCCGACGGCTAATATTAACACCTTAAATTTAATAGAGAAAATAGATCCATACATGTGAATTTATAATTTTTCATAAGTATTTTAAAAAAAAAATTATTATGAAACAACCCCATTACCACCCCCCCCCCACCGCCCCACCACCTCTATCACCGTTGCCACTGCCACTGCCACTACCATCACCATTACCACTACCGTCACCACCTTAGCTTCAACAACCACCACCACTGTCACCACACCATCACCCCCACCATTATCACAATTCCTATCACCCCACCACTATCATCATCGTCGTTATCCACCACCACCATCCCATCACTGTCTCTTACCACCACCATTATTGTTCACCATCACTATTATCGCTCATGCCCAATTACAACTGATGTTTAAATTCCTTTTTCTCTCTTCTAATTTTATAAATTAATTTTGTGTGTAAATACAAAAATATTTATTATTGATTTTTTTTAATTATTCCGTGTCTTTAGGTACATGAAAAATAACTAGTAATTTTATATAAAAACCATAGTTATCTATAAAGTATTTTGAATGTGGCTATATTATATTTTTATAAAAATGTTTGTACCGTATCATATTGGTCGTAGTATATCACGTTCGTATCCACGACTGTTTTACCCGTAATCTTCAATTCAGTAATTGGCAGGGATGTCAGTGAGCCGAAATGGGGGGTGGGGGGTATAGTCTTCATCCCCATACTCGTTTAAAAAATCTTCGTCAATCCTCAGTCCACCTTCGTTAATGAGTATAATTTTCATTCCCATCTCTGTCCACGAGTAAATTTATAATCCTTGACCCTGTGCCCACCCAAGCCTAAGTCAAGTCTAAGCCAACATAATCAACAATTCTAAATAAATCAAACATTTTAAATAATTCAACAACATTCTAAATAATGTAACATAACATAATGTAGCATAATATATTCCAACGTAACACAAACAACAAATGTCCAAAATATTACTTGAATTTGATATAACCATCCTATAATAAATTACTAAATAAGTTAAGAGGCCCACAAAATCGAATAACTACTTGATTAACTAGCCATGAAATCCATCATTAGAGAACCTATATGATATTGCAAAAAAAACATGAGAGTTGAGCTATCATCACCTGAAGCTATAATGTTAACTTGTTATGTGAAATTAAAAAAAAAAACAATATTATATCGTTAGCTCAAAATCAACATAAGATCACATGACATATTGGAATTTGAAACTTTTAAATTTAAAATCTAACACAAGCAAGTTATGTGAATATTTCTAAGAGTTAGTCATTGATACTTTCAAATGTTTATTATGCAATTGGACAGAACTAATTGCGTATTTTGTCATCGATAAGTATGATATATCTTCTGATTAGTATAACAGAAAAAATAATATAAGTAAATGATGTTCAGTCTCAAATTAGCATTAGTAGGTGATATAGCACACATATGTTGATAGGTAGTGAGCAAGAGCAAAATTGAAAAAGAAAAATCAGTTTGGGGATTATAATACTATGAAACACCATTTAAAACACACGTGCATANATTAGTAGGTGATATAGCACACATATGTTGATAGGTAGTGAGGAAGAGCAAAATTGAAAAAGAAAAATCAGTTTGGGGATTATAATACTATGAAACACCATTTAAAACACATGTGCATGCATGTTAGAGAGGGGATGTGGGTTTATATACATATATTTACCGGATATAACGGAGACTGCCAGACTGGCACGTGGCGGGGCAAGCCAGGGATGAGGTGGGATAGGGGTAAATACATTCTCGCGTTTATCCCGCAAGGATTTAGACGAATATTCTCGTATCCGTCAACCGTTCGTTCGATAAATATATGATGGGACATTTCTGNTTTTTTTATATGTTATATAATGCATTCAGTCATGGGCGGTGATTAGTTATCTGATAAATTATATTTATATAATAAAATACAATACAATTCAAATTTTAAAAGATAAATAAAATAACTTTTAATTTTCACGATTGAGATCTTTTTACATTTTACTTTTAAATTAATCCGACGGCTAATATTAACACCTTAAATTTAATAGAGAAAATAGATCCATACATGTGAATTTATAATTTTTCATAAGTATTTTAAAAAAAAAATTATTATGAAACAACCCCATTACCACCCCCCCCCCACCGCCCCACCACCTCTATCACCGTTGCCACTGCCACTGCCACTACCATCACCATTACCACTACCGTCACCACCTTAGCTTCAACAACCACCACCACTGTCACCACACCATCACCCCCACCATTATCACAATTCCTATCACCCCACCACTATCATCATCGTCGTTATCCACCACCACCATCCCATCACTGTCTCTTACCACCACCATTATTGTTCACCATCACTATTATCGCTCATGCCCAATTACAACTGATGTTTAAATTCCTTTTTCTCTCTTCTAATTTTATAAATTAATTTTGTGTGTAAATACAAAAATATTTATTATTGATTTTTTTTAATTATTCCGTGTCTTTAGGTACATGAAAAATAACTAGTAATTTTATATAAAAACCATAGTTATCTATAAAGTATTTTGAATGTGGCTATATTATATTTTTATAAAAATGTTTGTACCGTATCATATTGGTCGTAGTATATCACGTTCGTATCCACGACTGTTTTACCCGTAATCTTCAATTCAGTAATTGGCAGGGATGTCAGTGAGCCGAAATGGGGGGTGGGGGGTATAGTCTTCATCCCCATACTCGTTTAAAAAATCTTCGTCAATCCTCAGTCCACCTTCGTTAATGAGTATAATTTTCATTCCCATCTCTGTCCACGAGTAAATTTATAATCCTTGACCCTGTGCCCACCCAAGCCTAAGTCAAGTCTAAGCCAACATAATCAACAATTCTAAATAAATCAAACATTTTAAATAATTCAACAACATTCTAAATAATGTAACATAACATAATGTAGCATAATATATTCCAACGTAACACAAACAACAAATGTCCAAAATATTACTTGAATTTGATATAACCATCCTATAATAAATTACTAAATAAGTTAAGAGGCCCACAAAATCGAATAACTACTTGATTAACTAGCCATGAAATCCATCATTAGAGAACCTATATGATATTGCAAAAAAAACATGAGAGTTGAGCTATCATCACCTGAAGCTATAATGTTAACTTGTTATGTGAAATTAAAAAAAAAAACAATATTATATCGTTAGCTCAAAATCAACATAAGATCACATGACATATTGGAATTTGAAACTTTTAAATTTAAAATCTAACACAAGCAAGTTATGTGAATATTTCTAAGAGTTAGTCATTGATACTTTCAAATGTTTATTATGCAATTGGACAGAACTAATTGCGTATTTTGTCATCGATAAGTATGATATATCTTCTGATTAGTATAACAGAAAAAATAATATAAGTAAATGATGTTCAGTCTCAAATTAGCATTAGTAGGTGATATAGCACACATATGTTGATAGGTAGTGAGGAAGAGCAAAATTGAAAAAGAAAAATCAGTTTGGGGATTATAATACTATGAAACACCATTTAAAACACATGTGCATGNTAGCACACATATGTTGATAGGTAGTGAGCAAGAGCAAAATTGAAAAAGAAAAATCAGTTTGGGGATTATAATACTATGAAACACCATTTAAAACACACGTGCATACATGTTAGAGAGGGGATGTGGGTTTATATACATATATTTACCGGATATAACGGAGACTGCCAGACTGGCACGTGGCGGGGCAAGCCAGGGATGAGGTGGGATAGGGGTAAATACATTCTCGCGTTTATCCCGCAAGGATTTCGACGAATATTCTCGTATCCGTCAACCGTTCGTTCGATAAATATATGATGGGACATTTCTGAAATGCTCCATGATGAAGACACGTGTCCTCGGTATTACCAAAACACTGTTGCTAAGATCAAGTACCATCGGCGCACAAAGGTCCTCGCCCCCGAGGTACTCGTCATATAGGATCATACATTCAGTATGTTTTACAACCAACACGTGACCTCGGTCTGATATGGTACCTCGGTCGGCTTACCTCCCTCTGTTCCGAGATGAGCCTTTCCTCGGTGCCGAGAGGTACCCCTTCCTAGACGTTTCCTCTACTCCAGGATAAGCTATTAACGTACAGGTCATTAGCCTAGGCTATTCATCATGACCTCGTCTTACACCATTAGTGTCAGAACGTACTGGAAATGCAGGGGTCACAGCCAATAGGGGATGGACGCGTGGCGTATGATATCACATCGAAGACAGAGAAACCGCATGCCGTTGCTGACACGCGACTTGGGAAAGCAAACTATTAATTACACCATTCCCTTGATGAGACCGCATTCAATGCGGTAAGGCTCGGAAATGAAAGACAATAAATGCTCCTAATACAGAGCATTTNATTAATTACACCATTCCCTTGATGAGACCGCATTCAATGCGGTAAGACTCGGAAATGAAAGACAATAAATGCTCCTAATACATAGCATTTATTGCATCCTCCCCGAGAGGAGTAAATTGTACCGTCGGCATCCCGATGACCCAGCATTGATTGCTCGGGACCCCGAGCAGTTAAGAAGAGAAGACATTCCTCATCAGAATCAGTGCGCACACTGCCTGTACCTAATGATCACCTACTGACTACACTGACAGCAATCATGAGCTTTTGAGGTATAAATACTCATTGCAAAAGGCAAAACGAGTATGCAACAAAAAACTCTTTACTACAATACACACTCAGTGTTTTCTCCTTCCTCTCTCTTTCTCAAAGACTGACTAGATCGTCGGAAGGGATACGCCGGAAAATACTCCGGCGCCCTTCTAACTTGTTCTTCTTTGTTCCAGGAACCTCTTTCAGCCTTACTGGATCGTTCTTCCGCTCCCCCAGGGTCTTCCGTCGCAGTTCCAGGTTATCACCGGACCTCGCAGGCTATTCCAAGCAACGTGATTGATCACTCAACTAACTCACTCGAGTTCACCAAAAAAAAGATCTGTTCTCGTTTTTATATTACGTAGGATCTTACACGCACGATATAGTCCACCCCGATCTGAACAAAACAGATTTGAACGTAAACGTATTTTTTTTTTCGACCACTACCATCCCTGCTAATTGGGTTACCAAACTGCACTCAGCCGAGAACAGAAAAACTGAAACAAAGAAGGGGAAAAAGAATCGGATCAAGGTTGGGAGCGCTTGGAAGCCCCAGAATGGAAAAAAAAAGAATGCTGAATTAAACGAAGAAGAAGCAAGGTAATACAAGAACATATATATATATACACACACATACTTTCATAAATTAACATTTTAATTGTTTAACTAATTATCATATTCGCATTCTGTAAATTTTATTTTGTCTAAAAAATCTTTCAATTTGATTGATTAATAACTTGGATCGCACTAAACGTACGAAAGTGATTATGTCGGCTCGAAATTGAACGTTTGAAGGTGGAATTAGGTGAAATAATGAAGGCAGGGAATGCAGCGAAGCTGATCGTCGATGCGCTGTTGCAGCGGTTCCTTCCGCTTGCACGGCGTCGCATTGAAACCGCTCAAGCTCAGGTAGGACTCCTCTTCTCTCTCATGTCCTCGTTAGAGATCAAATTCGATAGCAATTTGCTGTTATATGAAGCAACCCGAGCTGTGGAATTTGAATTCAAGTATTTTGATTGCAATTTTACTGTTATGTGAAGCAACCCAAGCTGTGGAATTGGAATTCCGATTACAATTTGCTGTTATATGAAGCAACCAAAGCTGTGGAATTGGAATTCCAAGTATTTCGATTGCAATTTGCTGTTATATGAAGCAACCAAAGCTGTGCAATTGAAATTCTAAGTATTTGATTATATGCCATGAAATATTAATGTTGTTTAGGACCATCAGATGTTTTATGATGGACTAAATTTTAGTAGAAAGTCTTGTACTGAGTGAGATGCAGTTTATTTGCTGCCTCTCCCAGCTTTCCTCGATCCCTCTGTTTTTGCTTCTATCAAAAAGCATGAAATCTGATCCGGGTAAAGGAAATGTAAAGTTAAGGAGGATGAGCAATCTTAGAAGTGGAAAGGAAAAACAGAAGAGTAACTTGTTGTTGTTGTTGTTCAGTCTTTTTGAGAAATATCACTGGTGCTCATTTTTCTAATTGAAGTGCCGTGATGTAGTTAAGATGAATAGATTCTCAACAATCAAATCTTATGCATGTATATGACATACCGATATTAAACAACAGACATAGCTCATTTTACACCATGCATGACCAGGTCTTCACATGCAGCCACTTTTCAACTGATTTCCTTATTTATTCTTGATTTGACATTGGGGATTACAGGATGGGCAATACCTTCGACCATCAGATCCAGTCTATGAACAAGTATTGGATTCCTTAGCTATGGTGGCACGACATACCCCTGTACCTCTTTTGGAAGCTCTTCTACGATGGAGAGAAAAGTGGGTTATAGCAATGTTTAAATTATTTCAGCTAATTTTGTCTTGGAACACCTTCATTACCTGTATTAATTTTGTTTGCAAAATGTTAAGTATTTCTTCTGCATGCGTAATATATTCATCTTGGTCTGCTGATAGAAGAGAATAAATAAACCAGGATTTGTAGTGATTTTTATTTGCATGTAAACGTTCCTTNTGACACAGCATTGATTGCTCGGGACCCCGAGCAGTTAAGAAGAGAAGACATTCCTCATCAGAATCAGTGCGCACACTGCCTGTACCTAATGATCACCTACTGACTACACTGACAGCAATCATGAACTTTTGAGGTATAAATACTCATTGCAAAAGGCAAAACGAGTATGCAACAAAAAACTCTTTACTACAGTACACACTCAGTGTTTTCTCCTTCCTCTCTCTTTCTCAAAGACTGACTAGATCGTCGGAAGGGATACGCCGGAAAATACTCCGGCGCCCTTCTAACTTGTTCTTCTTTGTTCCAGGAACCTCTTTCAGCCTTACTGGATCGTTCTTCCGCTCCCCCAGGGTCTTCCGTCGCAGTTCCAAGTTATCACCGGACCTCGCAGGCTATTCCAAGCAACGTGATTGATCACTCAACTAACTCACTCGAGTTCACCAAAAAAGAGATCTGTTCTCGTTTTTATATTACGTAGGATCTTACACGCACGATATAGTCCACCCCGATCTGAACAAAACAGATTTGAACGTAAACGTATTTTTTTTTTCGACCACTACCATCCCTGCTAATTGGGTTACCAAACTGCACTCAGCCGAGAACAGAAAAACTGAAACAAAGAAGGGGAAAAAGAATCGGATCAAGGTTGGGAGCGCTTGGAAGCCCCAGAATGGAAAAAAAAAGAATGCTGAATTAAACGAAGAAGAAGCAAGGTAATACAAGAACATATATATATATACACACACATACTTTCATAAATTAACATTTTAATTGTTTAACTAATTATCATATTCGCATTCTGTAAATTTTATTTTGTCTAAAAAATCTTTCAATTTGATTGATTAATAACTTGGATCGCACTAAACGTACGAAAGTGATTATGTCGGCTCGAAATTGAACGTTTGAAGGTGGAATTAGGTGAAATAATGAAGGCAGGGAATGCAGCGAAGCTGATCGTCGATGCGCTGTTGCAGCGGTTCCTTCCGCTTGCACGGCGTCGCATTGAAACCGCTCAAGCTCAGGTAGGACTCCTCTTCTCTCTCATGTCCTCGTTAGAGATCAAATTCGATAGCAATTTGCTGTTATATGAAGCAACCCGAGCTGTGGAATTTGAATTCAAGTATTTTGATTGCAATTTTACTGTTATGTGAAGCAACCCAAGCTGTGGAATTGGAATTCCGATTACAATTTGCTGTTATATGAAGCAACCAAAGCTGTGGAATTGGAATTCCAAGTATTTCGATTGCAATTTGCTGTTATATGAAGCAACCAAAGCTGTGCAATTGAAATTCTAAGTATTTGATTATATGCCATGAAATATTAATGTTGTTTAGGACCATCAGATGTTTTATGATGGACTAAATTTTAGTAGAAAGTCTTGTACTGAGTGAGATGCAGTTTATTTGCTGCCTCTCCCAGCTTTCCTCGATCCCTCTGTTTTTGCTTCTATCAAAAAGCATGAAATCTGATCCGGGTAAAGGAAATGTAAAGTTAAGGAGGATGAGCAATCTTAGGAGTGGAAAGGAAAAACAGAAGAGTAACTTGTTGTTGTTGTTGTTCAGTCTTTTTGAGAAATATCACTGGTGCTCATTTTTCTAATTGAAGTGCCGTGATGTAGTTAAGATGAATAGATTCTCAACAATCAAATCTTATGCATGTATATGACATACCGATATTAAACAACAGACATAGCTCATTTTACACCATGCATGACCAGGTCTTCACATGCAGCCACTTTTCAACTGATTTCCTTATTTATTCTTGATTTGACATTGGGGATTACAGGATGGGCAATACCTTCGACCATCAGATCCAGTCTATGAACAAGTATTGGATTCCTTAGCTATGGTGGCACGACATACCCCTGTACCTCTTTTGGAAGCTCTTCTACGATGGAGAGAAAAGTGGGTTATAGCAATGGTTAAATTATTTCAGCTAATTTTGTCTTGGAACACCTTCATTACCTGTATTAATTTTGTTTGCAAAATGTTAGGTATTTCTTCTGCATGCGTAATATATTCATCTTGGTCTGCTGATAGAAGAGAATAAATAAACCAGGATTTGTAGTGATTTTTATTTGCATGTAAACGTTCCTTTCCTATTGTGCCTGATTCTAATTTGGTTACTTACAGGTGTGTCAGTTTCTGCTCCTCAGTTGGGATGTTTTCACATATAGTATATTGCTATAATGGGATTATCAGTAAAGTTGCATTGTCTTAGTTGTACGATGACAGATGTGTTAGAGTATATTTAGGAGAATTAATATTATAGGTAGTTTAGTCATTTACTTTAACAAAATGGAGCATCTTCAAGTATGAATTTATATTATTAATATTATTGAATGGATATAGTATAATTATATAGGCCTTAGACACAAACACAGTAAAATGTGATTGGATATGCTGATGTGTCATCTATCTAATGTTACAAATAAGAAGTTAATTATTCAACTTATAAAAACACAATAATGGTCAAGATTGGTACAAAATTCATCATAATTTTTCCCCCCTCAAAAACATTATTTATCTGTAGAACTCCCAATGCTATGCCTATCTCTCTCTTCTCTTTCCCCTACCTCTCTCTTAAAGAAAAAAAATTAAAAATAAATTGATATTTACAATATATAAACTTTATGATCAATATTCGATTTTTTGTATTGCAGAGTGTCTTTNTCCCCTACCTCTCTCTTAAAGAAAAAAAATTAAAAATAAATTGATATTTACAATATAAAAACTTTATGATCAATATTCAATTTTTTGTATTGCAGAGTGTCTTCNCCAGCTTTCCTCGATCCCTCTGTTTTTGCTTCTATCAAAAAGCATGAAATCTGATCCAGGTAAAGGAAATGTAAAGTTAAGGAGGATGAGCAATCTTAGAAGTGGAAAGGAAAAACAGAAGAGTAACTTGTTGTTGTTGTTGTTCAGTCTTTTTGAGAAATATCACTGGTGCTCATTTTTCTAATTGAAGTGCCGTGATGTAGTTAAGATGAATAGATTCTCAACAATCAAATCTTATGCATGTATATGACATACCGATATTAAACAACAGACATAGCTCATTTTACACCATGCATGACCAGGTCTTCACATGCAGCCACTTTTCAACTGATTTCCTTATTTATTCTTGATTTGACATTGGGGATTACAGGATGGGCAATACCTTCGACCATCAGATCCAGTCTATGAGCAAGTATTGGATTCCTTAGCTATGGTGGCACGACATACCCCTGTACCTCTTTTGGAAGCTCTTCTACGATGGAGAGAAAAGTGGGTTATAGCAATGGTTAAATTATTTCAGCTAATTTTGTCTTGGAACACCTTCATTACCTGTATTAATTTTGTTTGCAAAATGTTAGGTATTTCTTCTGCATGCGTAATATATTCATCTTGGTCTGCTGATAGAAGAGAATAAATAAACCAGGATTTGTAGTGATTTTTATTTGCATGTAAACGTTCCTTTCCTATTGTGCCTGATTCTAATTTGGTTACTTACAGGTGTGTCAGTTTCTGCTCCTCAGTTGGGATGTTTTCACATATAGTATATTGCTATAATGGGATTATCAGTAAAGTTGCATTGTCTTAGTTGTACGATGACAGATGTGTTAGAGTATATTTAGGAGAATTAATATTATAGGTAGTTTAGTCATTTACTTTAACAAAATGGAGCATCTTCAAGTATGAATTTATATTATTAATATTATTGAATGGATATAGTATAATTATATAGGCCTTAGACACAAACACAGTAAAATGTGATTGGATATGCTGATGTGTCATCTATCTAATGTTACAAATAAGAAGTTAATTATTCAACTTATAAAAACACAATAATGGTCAAGATTGGTACAAAATTCATCATAATTTTTCCCCCCTCAAAAACATTATTTATCTGTAGAACTCCCAATGCTATGCCTATCTCTCTCTTCTCTTTCCCCTACCTCTCTCTTAAAGAAAAAAAATTAAAAATAAATTGATATTTACAATATAAAAACTTTATGATCAATATTCAATTTTTTGTATTGCAGAGTGTCTTCAGACACGTGTTATTGCTAGTATCCTTACAAAGTAGATCATGTTTAAGGTTGACCATATATATCACATTATATGAGGAGGATATATGTTTTTGATTGATATTTGTAATCTCCATATAAGAGGCAGATTTGTGGAGGGTGGTGGTAACTGGAAAATAAGGAAAAGAAAAGGGAAGATGGACTTCAAAAAATTTCATGATATTTTCAGAATTGACTTGCAAGTTCCTTTTGTTGTGGGAATACAACAGGCAACCATGTTATATCGCAACCAATTAGGATTTGACCTTGAAGCTATAATGTTCACTGTTGCTCGTGACTTTATGGATAAATATTTCAGGGCTATTTGTTGTAGCGTCCATTCTAGATGTGATTTTATCTATCGAATTCAAGCATTTGTGATGCTTGTATTTGCCTTTATGGTTAATTCTTGAAATTGGCTTTGGTGTAACTGTATTCTATGTCACTTAGCCTAGCAACATATATGGATTGTTGGTCCTTTTTTTAATTATATTGTTCTGGTGGTGGTTGTAGTGAATCCCCAAAAGGTGCAAATGATGCATCTACATTCCAGAGAAAGGTTTGTGAGATATTTACTTCTCATTTGAAAGTCTATTCCTATCAGTAGAATTGGTGATTTTATTGATTGTATATAAATTATAAGAAATGTTGAGGCCGTGGCTCAAATATATCTTATCTGGTTCATGGGGATGAAGTATGTACTGTTTGCGCTATTAGGGTTAAAGAGTATAAAAATGAAACATGACTACAACTGAATAAGTTAGATAATGCAAAGACAAGAAGTGAGATTCAGTAGATGAATGTGTGGTAAGACAAGAAAAAAATGAATTATAAATGGTTATATTCTGGAGACGGTATGAACTAGACCAATTGAAGATAAATTGAAAGCGAACTGATCGATATTGTTTGAACACGTATGACGAAGACCAATTGGTACACCAGTGAGGAAGAATGAGATGAATACTGTAAGTAAGAATGATTGAGAAGAAGACAAAAGTTGATATGGAATGGGGTTGCAAAGAAGGGCATGATGTTTGTAATTTAACAACACATATAGCCCTTGGCAGAGCAGAATAGAGGGGAAAAAAAAACTCAAGTGGTTGACCCTATATAATTAGGACAAGGATTGATTCGGTTTGGATAGGAGTAGAAAGCATAGAGAAAGGATGTTAAAGAACTAGAGCATGTGAAAAAAAAACCTATTAAATTTTGCATCGTTGGTTGTAGAGGAAATTATACTTAAGCTTGATGATGTTTTCGCATGGTTCAGCTTGCAGTGGAATGCATATTTTGCTCCGCATGTATCCGTTTTGTGGAATGTTGCCCACAAGAACGACTTACAGGTTTGGTCATTATGTCATTATGTCATAATTATTATTGTTATTTTTGACGTGTGATAATTTGTTCACGAATAAAATGTGTGTCCTCCCTGCAGAGAAGCTCTGGATTGGTCTTGAAAACTTTGTGTTTGATTGGCTAATTAATGCTGACAGGTAACGCCGTTCAAGTTGGGTTTTGAAACTTGCAAATTTCAAATAGCTATTGATATTACAAGTTGGCAATGTCAGTTATATGTTTTGCACCTAGTAAAGCAACTCAACTCAACAAAACAAAACAGAGCCTTAACCCAACTATTCGGGGTCAGCTACATGAATCTTGTTTCTTCATGCTTTATCATCGATAGTAAAGTATGAACCTTAAATTATTTCTCTTTCTGATGAACTTAGAACTTTTGACTTGAAATTTTTGGTTTCCATCCAACAGCCGTAGGCTATATCTCTTTTGTAGAGTGTCGTAGTAGAGAGGTTGATTGTGTTGGGGTTGGGTTATGGATTCTATTTATTCTTTACACCACGTTGATTTTGCATGAGTTGTATTGTTGTCCTGATAATGAACCTTCATCCAAGATACATGAAAAGTGTAAGTTCATGGAAATTTTCTCATATTGGTTTATCATATACAAAACATTATGCCTCAGCCGAGCAAATTATCATGCACGAGGCACTGATTCCTTCATACTGGCATTTGTTTTAAAGGAGAATTGTTCATATATTCTTCTCATGTAGTTGTTTCTTTTTCGATGTGTATATGTTTAGCTTTTTCCTTTTTTCTCCAAAACATTTTTGTGTACTTATTTTTGTGATTAAGATGGTGTGTGCATGTTAATTGACACTATCCACTGAACTTATTATGCCACAAAGAAAATAGGTAATAATGGATATGCTTTTAGGCCTGTAAGTTTAGGGTCAAGATAATGCTTCAGAAAATTATGGTTTAAACTGGAATATGTTTTATGGGTTTTCATTATGTTGTATTTGAGAGATTTTATATTTCACGTCTCGCTTGAGCATTTTCTTTAAACAGCGTTTGTACTCTGTTGTGCATTACATACATTTTTGAAGATTACTCGTGCATGAGACTGTCTATGTTCAAAACAGAAAATGAGCTACTAATGCATATAATCTAGACATTGATGTACTATTTCTCACATTTTTAGGAAGAGACATGAAATCTATACTCATATGCTTATTTCTCTACATTGGTATTCTTTCTTTGTATGTTCTCAATAGTAGTTTACATATTGCAGGGTTGTTAGTCAGGTTGAATATCCTTCCTTGGTTGACTTGCGGGGGCTTCTTCTAGACCTAGTTGCACAACTCCTAGGTGCTTTATCCCGAATCAGGTAATTGATATTAGACCTTCTGATGATAGAACTGATGCAACCCTTACGGTGATTATAGTGTCTGGTAACACAAGTTTTATGCATTTCCCGACTTCCGTATGGAGAATTTCAACTTTATACTAAAGGTTTTTGGTTCATTTAGTGGAATTAGATTAGCATGTCATGCTCAGCGTAGTTGTTTCTAATTGCTCAATCCTTGGTGAACTTTGGTATGTTTGCCTCTTTATCTATCGATTATGCTGACTTGTTTGAGGCTATCCAACTGTATGCACTCTAGCAAGGAAGAATTTCTGTCATGGAAAGAAAAAAATTGCTTGATCTTCCTAGCTGGAAAATCATCCAGTCTACGGTATCTGTCTTGGCCTTTATTTTTTCTTCCTTTTGTTACAATATTTGTCGCCTTTCTGGGTCTTTGTGTCTGAACTGTCTCAGTCGATGCCTTATTATGTACATAGTAGGTGTACGCGTACTCGTATAGTCATGTGCTCAATCTTACTTTCCAATTCATTTGCTTTATTGTTTCTTAAATTTATTTTAAGTTGCATCTCAACAAGTTGTTAATCAATTATTCACAAATTAAATTGTTTTGGAAATAATTACCAAAGAAAATAACAAATAAATGATAATGAGTGAACATTTTCATGCCGCTGACTGGCTTTCCGTCCTATATTGTTTCTTTTGTTTGTCCTGTTGATTGTGTGTCTTTACTTTCTTTGTGTGGTTATTATTATGTGTGAAGCCTATTGCCCTATGTAATGGAATCACCGATTCTCCTGGTGATCAATTAATTCGGTTGAGGCTCAGAATAATCTGCACTATACTTTCGGGGTATGCATCAAGAACACCATATGTTCTTCAATCAAATTAATTTGTGCTAATGTGTGAATATGATTTGTAGCGGTTTTCATGCTTAGTTCTGTACTTTTATAGTAAACTTATATGATTTTTGAGAATGCATGCATTTTCTCTTAATAGGTTTAGTTCCGTGACAGAGCGCTTTTTCATGGAACTAAATACTCGTCGGATTGATACAAATGTTGCTCGAGGTGAAACACTTAGCATCATTAATGGGATGCGCTACCTAAAACTTGGAGTACGTATCAAGCTTTTGTTGTGAATTTTGCAAGAATGTAGTTTATAACACTAAGCTGACTTCCAGGTTAAGACTGAGGGTGGTCTGAATGCATCAGCCTCTTTTGTGGCAAAAGCAAACCCTCTGAATCGTGCTCCCCATAAGCGGAAAAGTGAACTTCACCATGCGCTGTGCAATATGCTTTCAAATATTCTAGCACCACTTGCAGATGGTGGAAAAGGGCAATGGCCTCCTTCTGGTGTAGAACCTGCACTTACCTTTTGGTATGACGCTGTTGCACAGATAAGAGCGCAGCTCATGCATTGGATGGACAAGCAGAGCAAGCATATAGCTGTGAGGAAATCGTAGACCCACCCATATAATATTCTTTTTTTCTTCCTTCGTATTATGAAATTCTGAGGTTGTCATCATTTTGTAATCTGATGGGAAGAAACCTCTTACCTTACAGGATTTTTTTAACTATGAAAATGTTTTTTTCCTGCGAAAATGTTTTTTCCACTTTGTCGAAGACAGGACCTCCAAATTGATTTATAGTACAAATCCAAAGCAGAAAGAAAATGATTGCTTTCTAAAATCTTCTAAATTTGATAAATTATAACTTTTCCCCTTTTCTCCCTTCAGTGGGCATTAGTTCTCATTATTTGTTATGGTTCAGTTGACTTTTTGTCATTTGATTTGACTCCATCAATTTTTGTTCTTTTTGTAGTTGGGTCTGTTAATCCATTCCTACTCTACGCCCAAAAGNTTTCTAAAATCTTCTAAATTTGATAAATTATAACTTTTCCCCTTTTCTCCCTTCAGTAGGCATTAGTTCTCATTATTTGTTATGGTTCAGTTGACTTTTTGTCATCTGATTTGACTCCATCAATTTTTGTTCTTTTTGTAGTTGGGTCTGTTAATCCATTCCTACTCTACGCCCAAAATNGAATCAGGTAATTGATATTAGACCTTCTGATGATAGAACTGATGCAACCCTTACGGTGATTATAGTGTCTGGTAACACAAGTTTTATGCATTTCCCGACTTCCGTATGGAGAATTTCAACTTTATACTAAAGGTTTTTGGTTCATTTAGTGGAATTAGATTAGCATGTCATGCTCAGCGTAGTTGTTTCTAATTGCTCAATCCTTGGTGAACTTTGGTATGTTTGCCTCTTTATCTATCGATTATGCTGACTTGTTTGAGGCTATCCAACTGTATGCACTCTAACAAGGAAGAATTTCTGTCATGGAAAGAAAAAAATTGCTTGATCTTCCTAGCTGGAAAATCATCCAGTCTACANCTCTTTATCTATCGATTATGCTGACTTGTTTGAGGCTATCCAACTGTATGCACTCTAGCAAGGAAGAATTTCTGTCATGGAAAGAAAAAAATTGCTTGATCTTCCTAGCTGGAAAATCATCCAGTCTACGNTAATTTGTTCACGAATAAAATGTGTGTCCTCCCTGCAGAGAAGCTCTGGATTGGTCTTGAAAACTTTGTGTTTGATTGGCTAATTAATGCTGACAGGTAACGCCGTTCAAGTTGGGTTTTGAAACTTGCAAATTTCAAATAGCTATTGATATTACAAGTTGGCAATGTCAGTTATATGTTTTGCACCTAGTAAAGCAACTCAACTCAACAAAACAAAACAGAGCCTTAACCCAACTATTCGGGGTCAGCTACATGAATCTTGTTTCTTCATGCTTTATCATCGATAGTAAAGTATGAACCTTAAATTATTTCTCTTTCTGATGAACTTAGAACTTTTGACTTGAAATTTTTGGTTTCCATCCAACAGCCGTAGGCTATATCTCTTTTGTAGAGTGTCGTAGTAGAGAGGTTGATTGTGTTGGGGTTGGGTTATGGATTCTATTTATTCTTTACACCACGTTGATTTTGCATGAGTTGTATTGTTGTCCTGATAATGAACCTTCATCCAAGATACATGAAAAGTGTAAGTTCATGGAAATTTTCTCATATTGGTTTATCATATACAAAACATTATGCCTCAGCCGAGCAAATTATCATGCACGAGGCACTGATTCCTTCATACTGGCATTTGTTTTAAAGGAGAATTGTTCATATATTCTTCTCATGTAGTTGTTTCTTTTTCGATGTGTATATGTTTAGCTTTTTCCTTTTTTCTCCAAAACATTTTTGTGTACTTATTTTTGTGATTAAGATGGTGTGTGCATGTTAATTGACACTATCCACTGAACTTATTATGCCACAAAGAAAATAGGTAATAATGGATATGCTTTTAGGCCTGTAAGTTTAGGGTCAAGATAATGCTTCAGAAAATTATGGTTTAAACTGGAATATGTTTTATGGGTTTTCATTATGTTGTATTTGAGAGATTTTATATTTCACGTCTCGCTTGAGCATTTTCTTTAAACAGCGTTTGTACTCTGTTGTGCATTACATACATTTTTGAAGATTACTCGTGCATGAGACTGTCTATGTTCAAAACAGAAAATGAGCTACTAATGCATATAATCTAGACATTGATGTACTATTTCTCACATTTTTAGGAAGAGACATGAAATCTATACTCATATGCTTATTTCTCTACATTGGTATTCTTTCTTTGTATGTTCTCAATAGTAGTTTACATATTGCAGGGTTGTTAGTCAGGTTGAATATCCTTCCTTGGTTGACTTGCGGGGGCTTCTTCTAGACCTAGTTGCACAACTCCTAGGTGCTTTATCCCGAATCAGGTAATTGATATTAGACCTTCTGATGATAGAACTGATGCAACCCTTACGGTGATTATAGTGTCTGGTAACACAAGTTTTATGCATTTCCCGACTTCCGTATGGAGAATTTCAACTTTATACTAAAGGTTTTTGGTTCATTTAGTGGAATTAGATTAGCATGTCATGCTCAGCGTAGTTGTTTCTAATTGCTCAATCCTTGGTGAACTTTGGTATGTTTGCCTCTTTATCTATCGATTATGCTGACTTGTTTGAGGCTATCCAACTGTATGCACTCTAACAAGGAAGAATTTCTGTCATGGAAAGAAAAAAATTGCTTGATCTTCCTAGCTGGAAAATCATCCAGTCTACAGTATCTGTCTTGGCCTTTATTTTTTCTTCCTTTTGTTACAATATTTGTCGCCTTTCTGGGTCTTTGTGTCTGAACTGTCTCAGTCGATGCCTTATTATGTACATAGTAGGTGTACGCGTACTCGTATAGTCATGTGCTCAATCTTACTTTCCAATTCATTTGCTTTATTGTTTCTTAAATTTATTTTAAGTTGCATCTCAACAAGTTGTTAATCAATTATTCACAAATTAAATTGTTTTGGAAATAATTACCAAAGAAAATAACAAATAAATGATAATGAGTGAACATTTTCATGCCGCTGACTGGCTTTCCGTCCTATATTGTTTCTTTTGTTTGTCCTGTTGATTGTGTGTTTTTACTTTCTTTGTGTGGTTATTATTATGTGTGAAGCCTATTGCCCTATGTAATGGAATCACCGATTCTCCTGGTGATCAATTAATTCGGTTGAGGCTCAGAATAATCTGCACTATACTTTCGGGGTATGCATCAAGAACACCATATGTTCTTCAATCAAATTAATTTGTGCTAATGTGTGAATATGATTTGTAGCGGTTTTCATGCTTAGTTCTGTACTTTTATAGTAAACTTATATGATTTTTGAGAATGCATGCATTTTCTCTTAATAGGTTTAGTTCCGTGACAGAGCGCTTTTTCATGGAACTAAATACTCGTCGGATTGATACAAATGTTGCTCGAGGTGAAACACTTAGCATCATTAATGGGATGCGCTACCTAAAACTTGGAGTACGTATCAAGCTTTTGTTGTGAATTTTGCAAGAATGTAGTTTATAACACTAAGCTGACTTCCAGGTTAAGACTGAGGGTGGTCTGAATGCATCAGCCTCTTTTGTGGCAAAAGCAAACCCTCTGAATCGTGCTCCCCATAAGCGGAAAAGTGAACTTCACCATGCGCTGTGCAATATGCTTTCAAATATTCTAGCACCACTTGCAGATGGTGGAAAAGGGCAATGGCCTCCTTCTGGTGTAGAACCTGCACTTACCTTTTGGTATGACGCTGTTGCACAGATAAGAGCGCAGCTCATGCATTGGATGGACAAGCAGAGCAAGCATATAGCTGTGAGGAAATCGTAGACCCACCCATATAATATTCTTTTTTTCTTCCTTTCGTATTATGAAATTCTGAGGTTGTCATCATTTTGTAATCTGATGGGAAGAAACCTCTTACCTTACAGGATTTTTTTAACTATGAAAACGTTTTTTTCCTGCGAAAATGTTTTTTCCACTTTGTCGAAGACAGGACCTCCAAATTGATTTATAGTACAAATCCAAAGCAGAAAGAAAATGATTGCTTTCTAAAATCTTCTAAATTTGATAAATTATAACTTTTCCCCTTTTCTCCCTTCAGTAGGCATTAGTTCTCATTATTTGTTATGGTTCAGTTGACTTTTTGTCATCTGATTTGACTCCATCAATTTTTGTTCTTTTTGTAGTTGGGTCTGTTAATCCATTCCTACTCTACGCCCAAAATTCGGATCACTTACATAGAAGCATAGGCAAGATTTACAATTATATCACAAGAAATTCTAACATTTCCTAACAAGTAACAAGTCAGCTAATAAAATTGAATCAGTTTTCCAGAATCATATTGATTTAGTTCAGTGAGTTCCTTCCAGGCTTCAATGCAGATGACTACAATATGGTGAGCTTTTAGGAGCAAAGTCTTCTGTTGTGCTTTCCTTGAAGAGATTGTAAGAGCCAGAATCAGAAAAAAACATCACTTTCAAAGCCAGCACTATATGTTAGCACTTGAAGAGTTGTTTTACCTACAAAAAAAGTTCTAAGATCGAGTGTGATAATCACTTTGTGTTAACTGACAAGCAGAAATTTGTGAGCTTGTGGGTTCGAATCTGAGGGCAATTACTTTGTGCAAATATCCCCAAAGGCCAGGTCTGTATTGAGCCCGCTCCGTCCAACACCCTTGGTAACGAGAACCTAATTGTGTAATGACACTTTTGTGTTATTATCGTCTTGTGCGATATACGGAATTGTTAATTGGAAAGTTTTCACTACGAGGCTTGAAACTTTGGAAGCAATATTATGGGTAACTTGGAAGTTGACATATTAAAATTTGATCCAAATATTGGATAGAGAAATTACAACTGTATGATCTTACTTATGTTGTGGTCTAATTAGAGTGTCGTTTATTTGGTAACTGAAGTTACTCTTTTGCAAAATTATAAATGGAATGAAATTTATCTGGCATTTCAATTTTAATAAAGTTTCCTTTCTTCCTCCATTTTGACTGTTCTTTCTGTTAGGTTGGTTACCCTTTGGTGACTCTTCTTCTCTGTCTTGGCGATCCTAATGTTTTTCTCAGTACATTTGGCACTCACATGGAGCAACTGTACAAGCATCTTAGGGTAAGTTATGTAATGCTGTGTCCAGTCTAGGGGACAGGCAAAACATGTGCTTGTTTTGTTTTGTTCTGTTGGGGGTTAGGAGACATCATGTTGCATTTCTGGAGTTCTGTATAAGATATAATTTAAGGCTTTTATGCAGGATAAAAACCACCGTTTCATGGCCTTGGACTGTCTTCATCGTGTATTGAGGTTCTACTTGAGTGTTCATGGGCATTCTCAGCGTCCAAATCGTGTATGGGACTATCTAGACAGTGTGACCTCACAACTTCTAACAATTCTGAGGAAAGGAATGCTTACACAGGATGTCCAACATGATAAACTTGTTGAATTCTGTGTAACAATAGCTGAACATAACCTTGATTTTGCCATGAACCACATGATATTGGAATTGCTTAAGCAGGATAGTCCTAGTGAAGCAAAGGTTATTGGTCTTCGTGCTTTGCTTGCCATTGTTATGTCTCCTACAAGTCGGCATGTGGGATTGGAAATTCTTCATGGTGATTGATGACTCATTTTGTAACCTCTAATGTTCTGTGGTCACACCTAATCTTGTTGCTGAACTTTTTTTTAACTCTTATTGACTTTGTTGCGGTTGGCAGTTCATGATATTGGCCACTACATCCCAAAAGTGAAGGCAGCGATCGAGTCTATCTTGAGGTCTTGCCATAAAACCTATAGTCAGGCTCTTCTTACTTCTTCAAGGACCACCATAGGTGATCCTTCTCTATTTCTAAAATCTTTATGTTGTATATAGAGCCTCAGCTATATGTATAGTTAGGAGGATGAGAAGTTACAGCTTACAACTTTTTTGGTGATCTTTCTACATATGTTAAAGATTTGGATTATTTGCTTTATCAAGTTTTTAGCTGGACCTGTTCTCAGTCACCTCTTATCTTCTCATAAAAGAACATTGAAAAAAAAGATTAGTTGCTCGTCAATGGGTGCAGAGTTGAGATTCCGTTCCTTTTCGTTTAATTCTCCAACGGCCATAAGCTTGTTATTCAGATAATGTGCATCAGATTGGTGGTTTTCGACTACTGTAACATAATTTTTACTGTCTTTCCTACCGCCAATTTAGTTGCCTTGGAGTCATATATTGTTTTTTCCCTTCCCGAAACCATTTGTGCTTGAAATCCTAGTAATTTATGCTTTCACTGCTGGAATGGCTCATACAAAATGTACTGTATGCTTCTCCAGATGCTGTGACGAAGGAAAAGTCGCAAGGGTATCTTTTCAAGTCGGTGCTCAAGTGCATACCGTACCTAATTGAAGAAGTTGGCAGAAGTGATAAGATCACCGAAATCATACCTCAGCATGGCATAAGCATTGATCCTGGTGTTCGTGAAGAAGCAGTACAGGTACTGAACCGGATTGTGAGATATCTTCCCCATCGGCGATTTGCAGTTACGAGGGGGATGGCCAACTTCATTCTACGGCTTCCTGATGAGTTTCCTCTTCTCATTCAAACGTCATTGGGACGCCTATTAGACCTTATGCGTTTCTGGAGAGCTTGTCTGTGTGATGATAAGATAGAGCATGATGCTCCTGATGCAAAGCATGTGAAAAGGAGTGAGGGATTTAAGAAGTCTTCCTTTCATCAGTCCGGAGACACAGCTGAATTTCGTGCTTCAGAAATAGATGCAGTTGGTCTTATTTTTCTGAGTTCTGTGGATAGTCAGATTAGGCATACGGCATTGGAGTTACTACGTTGTGTCCGTGCCTTACATAATGATTTACGCGAGCTTTCCATACAAGAGAGATCAAAGCAAATTTTGAAATATGAAGCTGAACCAATATTTATTATTGATGTTTTAGAAGAGAATGGGGTGCATTAAACTTTTACCCTCTTTTATCTTCTCCTCCATTTTTTTGTATTTTTATTTGTATTTCAAGTGTAGTTTATTTATTTATTTTCTTAATTTAGTTTAAATTTGAAACTTATGATTCTTGCAGGATGACATTGTTCAGTGCTGCTACTGGGATTCTGGGCGTCCATTCGATTTAAGACGGGAATCTGATGCAGTACCTCCAGATGTGACACTTCAATCCATACTGTTTGAGAGTCCAGATAAGAACAGATGGGCTCGATGTCTCAGTGAGCTTGTCAAATATGCTGCTGAGCTCTGCCCAAGCTCTGTCCAGGAAGCAAAGTAAGTAAATTTACAATTTCACATGCGACATGTTTTGCTGAACATTGATTTTTTTCTCCAAAATATTACTGTCATAATGGCTATTATTACTATAATGATGTTAATGTGCCAGTACTATCAAAGTGACTTAATTTTCTGAAGTGCTTGTTGAACTTTTGCTATTTTAGGTTGGTTCAATCATCTCTCTCGAAATAGATTTCTGCTATATAGGATATCAACTTTCCTAGAAGGCCATTTCTTGTCGTTATGGTAAAAGTTTAGACAGGAAAGTTTGACACGGGAGTCTGAGTCTATGAGAAGCCATTTTGTTGTAAATAGTGCATGCCAATNATTTTCTGAAGTGCTTGTTGAACTTTTGCTATTTTAGGTTGGTTCAATCATCTCTCTTAAAATAGATTTCTGCTATATAGGATATCAACTTTCCTAGAAGGCCATTTCTTGTCGTTATGGTAAAAGGTTAGACAGGAAAGTTTGACACGGGAGTCTGAGTCTATGAGAAGCCATTTTGTTGTAAATAGTGCATGCCAATGACGTCAAAGATTAGTTTTGATCTAGTTACCCCTCTCAGAACCTGCATTGGCATGAACACTGGGTAATGACCTTTTAGTATTTTGGTTAGTATGACTCATTTCTGATTTAAAATATTGATAGAAATGTTGGGAATAATTGCCCAGAAAACATGAATTGTCCTCTGGCCATGTTGCTGGTATCATGCTGTCTTTATTGATGGCATCCTAGTTTATGATCCAGAAGTGATTATAGAGTTTGAAAACTACTCATTAGCGTCTTGATTCTCAGGTTAGAGGTTGTTCAGCGTCTTGCTCATATCACACCTGTTGAGTTGGGTGGGAAGGCTCATCAATCACAGGATGCAGATAGCAAACTAGACCAGTGGCTTATGTATGCAATGTTTGCATGCTCATGTCCGCCAGACAGTGGGGAAGGTGGCAGCTCAGCAGCAACCAGAGAACTTTTCCATCTTATTTTTCCCTCATTAAAATCAGGATCCGAAGCGCATGTGGTAAGTATTCTCAACAAACTATTATATAATCTGGATGATATCATGCAACTTGTCATGATTGGGTGATGTAGGATATATGTACGGGAGAGCACCTACAAGCTATGGCATTTCATTTTTTTCAGTGCAACGGGGAAAGGGGTTTTCGGGGCTAATTATTGTTGGTTTTGTGGCCAGAACATGGTTTAAGGTCGCGGTATCGGCCATCGACTCGGAGAACTTTGAGACACATCGGTTGTGGCGTTGCGACACGGTATCGAGTGATATGACCTAAAAGAAAATGTTGAACAGGACAAGAGATTCATGTCATACCATGACGTCGCAAAATTGTATCGACCGATTTGGTGGCGATAACTCTGCACTTCGGAATTGATTTGAGTGCAACTCGGCCGAGTTGTGTGAGACTCGGAGTTTATACGTATCGTGTAACGGTATTGTCTCGGAAGATGTCGAGTCGGATACGACTCGGTCTACTTGTATTGGTACCGACCGATAATTTAAACCGTGGGATAAAAGGTTGGTGGAACGATGGAGTCTTGATAGTTTTATGGATGTAGGAAAGCGGTGGGGTATTTGGGTTTGTACAGTGATAACAGAGAGTGATGTTTTGTGGCTGTTTTGGGATTGAACCATACCAGTAAATAGTTGAAAGGATATTTTTGTGGATTTTGGGTTTCTAAAAATGAATGATTGAAGAAGTGATGAAGACTGCAGAGCATGGCAACAAAAGGAACAAATTTAGAGTTTCATGTGGAGTGTATTTGAGAGCTTGGCAATCACTTGAAAAGCAAGCACTTTTCTACCCATTTTCTTCCATTAAGCCCACACTATGCTTTACGTAATTAAACTCCTATTTCTATAATATTTCAAAAACAAAACTCATGGAAAATCTAATGTAGGCTTCTTTCCTAGTGTCCGGAGGCTATCTTACATCAAGATGAAAAGGTGTTGTGCTTGCATGAGGTGTTATATTTCTGGAAATCCAGAATTATGATGTAAGAAATTTCTTGATTTTGACCTCTTTAATATATTGGGGATAGAAAGAGTGTAGAGAGGTTAGGTAAAGGGATAGCGTTTTGACAGTATGCTAGTAGTTAGGCAAATGAAATGAAATGAAATGAAATTACTAATTTTTTTGCCTCATCAATTTAAAGGAAGAGAACAGTAAGAAGAAAAAGAATAGCATAGGCATTGCATTTAGGATCATGGTTGCTTCGTACAATCCCAACAGGCTTCAAAAATTCTTTATTAAATGTCCATCTGTGAAACTTATAAAGAAATTATACATAAACCAACAAAAGTTCAACTGCAATCACTCAGTACGGAAAAACTCTTTTATTGGGTAAATACCGGTACCTCGAGCCAAAACTATGACCATGGACCAGTGTACAGCCCATGTCCACCATATTTGGAATTTTCAAAGCATATATGCTCCAACACATAAAGAAAAATATATAACTGACCAACTGGACGTTGTAAGATCCATTGTGAGCTCCTCCTTAACATGCTAATCCAGTAAACTGACAGATTATCTGCTGGTTACTGAAGTTGGTGGAAGTTTCTTGCATGTTTACTGCATATACTCACCTTGCTGGGATTCTTTTCCTTGAAATCATTCTTTCATTTGCTAAGCATAGTCTATGGCACTATTGACAGTGTCTACTGGGTTGCTTGAATTTATTTAGAGGCAAACAAAGATTGATCTGAGCTTGAAAATCATCCTGCACAATTTTTTTGGATGCAAACTTTGTGAATTATTTGATTAAGGAGATGTGTCCAAAAACCTACTCTGTCTTCCGCCACAATTGAAAATTGTGGGTATTGGCCAACTTTACGTATGTACGTACTGCTAAGATGGTTATGTGGGATGCACTCCTGCAACTTACTTTCTGCATGCTTGTTATGACCAATCAGCTTCAGGATTTTATGACTTACGTGCTTCGACATTTGTTCCTTAATTGTCAAATTAGCTCATTTTCTTTCTTCTCTCAGCATGCAGCTACTATGGCTCTTGGCCACTCACATCTAGAAGTGTGTGAGATCATGTTTGGTGAGCTTGCATCTTTTATTGATGACGTTTCTTTGGAAACAGAGGGTAAACCGAAGTGGAAGGTATAGTTGATGTTTAAATGCCTCAAGGGTCAATTGTATTTTTATTTATTTTATTTTTTATTCCCTCTTTTTTTTTTTCTGTGGACTTTGGTTGGAAAGGGTTGGTTAGACTGGGGCCTACAATACTTTTTATCCTTNGTACGGGAGAGCACCTACAAGCTATGGCATTTCATTTTTTTCAGTGCAACGGGGAAAGGGGTTTTCGGGGCTAATTATTGTTGGTTTTGTGGCCAGAACATGGTTTAAGGTCGCGGTATCGGCCATCGACTCGGAGAACTTTGAGACACATCGGTTGTGGCGTTGCGACGCGGTATCGAGTGATATGACCTAAAAGAAAATGTTGAACAGGACAAGAGATTCATGTCATACCATGACGTCGCAAAATCGTATCGACCGATTTGGTGGCGATAACTCGNTGCTAAGATGGTTATGTGGGATGCACTCCTGCAACTTACTTTCTGCATGCTTGTTATGACCAATCAGCTTCAGGATTTTATGACTTACGTGCTTCGACATTTGTTCCTTAATTGTCAAATTGGCTCATTTTCTTTCTTCTCTCAGCATGCAGCTACTATGGCTCTTGGCCACTCACATCTAGAAGTGTGTGAGATCATGTTTGGTGAGCTTGCATCTTTTATTGATGACGTTTCTTTGGAAACAGAGGGTAAACCGAAGTGGAAGGTATAGTTGATATTTAAATGCCTCAAGGGTCAATTGTATTTTTATTTATTTTATTTTTTATTCCCTCTTATTTTTTTTTCTGTGGACTTTGGTTGGAAAGGGTTGGTTAGACTGGGGCCTACAATACTTTTTATCCTCGAGTTCTTTTAAATCTTCATGTTCAGAACACCAATTGCCAACCATAGCGTTAATAATTTATGTAGTTTTTTGAACTGGAAAACGTAATCATTTATTGAGTGTGACAGTTCAAAAAAGTCATCCCAAAATGGTAGAGCATAATTATGCTGCTAACTAAAAATAATGATGGTATAGCTCTTTCAATCATCAATATTGAGGTTATTGACTGTTATTCAGGTGTAGCAGAATTATTAGGAGATAACCACCTACTGAGAATTAAATGGTGATGTGTGACAGTACATGAATTCGTAGAATATCTAGGCAAGGAATACGAAAGGCAACAGATTGAATGTCAATAATATGTCAGCTTGCTATTAAATTGCTTGGTCTTAAGGCCCGCGTGAGGGGTTACACCAGTTCTTGTCAAATATTATGCTGCTTTTGCAAGCATATGCCATATCCCTTTCATTTTGTCATATACCTGGAGGATCTCCCACCCGAGACTGCTGGAGTCTGTTTATGAAATTTAGAGGCAGACCTTTAGAAATGGGAAAAGATTAAAGAAATTGGATTATTGCCCAGAACATTATATTGTTGTATCGGGTAAATTCAGTTCAATTATGAGTTCATAACCCTTTCATGTTGACATGATCATATCTTGCATCTTTTTTCTTTATAACCAAGTATGAAAGTGACCTGCATACATGGAAGTATACTCTGCCCTTGACGCTTACTTAAATTGATACATTCCCATTTTGGCTTCCAGTGACATGAATTACATAAAATGGCACTTATATTGATGCAGAGCCAAAAGTCCCGTCGTGAAGAACTTCGCATCCACATTTCAAATATATACCGTAGTGTTGCAGAGGATATCTGGCCAGGCATGCTTGGCCGTAAACCAGTTTTTCGTCTTCATTGTTTAAAGTTCATTGAAGAAACAACCAGACAGATATTAACGGCACCAACTGAGAGCTTTCAAGAAATTCAACCTCTCCGTTATGCACTTGCTTCTGTTCTAAGATCTCTGGCCCCTGAATTTGTTGAGTCAAAATCGGAGAAATTTGACATCAGGTCTAGAAGGCGACTGTTTGATCTTCTTCTCTCCTGGTGTGATGACATTGGGAGTGCATGGAGTCAGGATGGTGTTAGTGACTATCGCCGCGAAGTTGAACGTTACAAATCTAGTCAGCACACTCGGTCAAAAGATTCTAGTGACAAATTTTCATTTGATAAAGAAGTAAGTGAACAAGTCGAGGCAATCCAGTGGGCCTCCATGAATGCAATGGCTTCACTATTATATGGGCCTTGCTTTGATGACAATGCAAGAAAAATGAGTGGTCGGGTAATATCCTGGATTAATAGTCTGTTCATCGAGCCTGTGCATAGGGCTCCATTTGGTCATTCACCAGCTGATCCAAGAACCCCATCTTACTCCAAATACATGGGAGAAGGTGGGCGAGGAGCCACTGGACGTGATAGGCATAGGGGTGGCCACCTTCGTGTCTCCCTTGCAAAATTGGCTTTGAAGAATCTTCTTCTTACAAATTTGGACTTGTTTCCTGCTTGCATTGATCAGGTAATTTTGTCTCTTTCGTATGGCAGCACATCATGACAAGTATACGTAATCGGAGACAACCTACTGGCTGTTTCCTATGGTGACCCTTTGTCTTCTATGTGCACCACTTCCCAAATAGTGTGTCTTGTGTAAAAGAACTTGGACTGTCTCCCTGATTCGGTGATCCTTTGATGTGACGTGTTTTAAGAGTGAAACCAACAAAACTACCTCGATTACCTGATCAATAATGGTGACCAGACAGATGCAAGCCCACAAGTCTTCGGTTTTTCCCAACAGTCAGGCTGTTTGATTCAGCTATTCATAACCAAAGAAAAAGTCGGAGGTGTGAAAGTATCTTTCGTTGTCCTTGGTGTTTCATGTTTTAGCCCTGTCCTGGTTGATCCATTTTATTATATACTCAGGCTTTCAATTTGAGCACCATCCCTGTGTGGCAGCTACAAGGAGGAACCTTCTTGTTTGTAATACTTTGCTTGCTAGTTTTAGTTGTTGTCTAACTGCTGTCTTTTATTAGCTCTTACTGTTATCTTACGTGGAACTAAAAACTTCATATCTTCTTCAGTGCTACTATTCTGATGCTGCCATAGCTGATGGTTACTTCAGCGTGCTGGCTGAAGTCTACATGCGACAAGAGATACCAAAATGTGAAATTCAGAGACTGTTGAGCCTGATCCTTTACAAGGTGGTGGACCCATCTAGACAAATCCGAGATGATGCCCTTCAAATGCTAGAGACACTTTCTGACCGTGAATGGGCTGAGGATGGCAATGAGGGGTCAGGAACTTATCGAGCTGCTGTGGTTGGCAACCTTCAGGATTCCTACCAACAGTTTCAATACAAACTCTCGTGCAAACTGGCCAAAGATCATCCTGAGCTAAGCCAGCTTCTCTGTGAGGAGATCATGCAAAGGCAACTTGATGCCGTTGATATAATTGCACAGCATCAGGTTCTAACCTGCATGGCTCCATGGATTGAGAACCTCAATTTCTGGAAACTCAAGGACTCTGGTTGGAGTGAAAGATTGTTGAAAAGCCTTTATTACGTGACATGGCGACATGGTGACCAGTTTCCTGATGAAATTGAAAAGCTCTGGAGCACAATTGCTAGCAAGCCCAGGAACATTAGTCCGGTGCTGGATTTCTTGATCACGAAAGGAATTGAAGATTGTGATTCAAATGCATCAGCGGAAATAAGTGGGGCATTTGCTACATACTTCTCAGTGGCTAAGCGGGTAAGTTTATATTTAGCCCGGATTTGTCCACAACGTACAATTGATCACTTGGTTTACCAATTAGCTCAGCGGATGCTTGAGGATAGCCTGGAGCCGCTAGGATCAAATGCAAATAAGGGTGATGCTAGTGGATCTTTTGTGTTGGAATTCTCTCAGGGACCAGCAATTACCCAAATTGCTTCTGTTGTAGACAACCAGCCTCACATGTCACCCTTACTTGTTCGGGGATCTCTTGAGGGTCCCCTCAGAAACACCAGTGGAAGCTTGAGCTGGAGAACAGCAGCTGTGGGAGGCCGAAGTGCCTCTGGCCCATTGAGTGCAATGCCTCCTGAGTTGAATATTGTTCCTGTTACTGCTGGCCGGTCGGGCCAACTCCTTCCAGCTTTGGTAAACATGTCAGGGCCATTAATGGGGGTCCGAAGTTCGACAGGGAGCTTGAGGAGTCGCCATGTCTCTCGAGACAGTGGAGACTACTTCATTGACACGCCAAATTCTGGGGAAGATGGGTTGCATTCTGGAGCGACAACACATGGTGTAAATGCTAAAGAACTTCAATCTGCCTTACAAGGGCATCAGCAACATTCACTTACTCATGCAGACATAGCATTGATTTTGCTAGCAGAAATTGCATATGAAAATGACGAGGATTTTCGGGAACACTTGCCTTTGCTCTTTCATGTCACATTTGTCTCCATGGATAGTTCGGAAGATATAGTTCTGGAGCACTGCCAGCAGCTGCTGGTTAATTTATTATACTCCCTTGCAGGCCGGCACTTGGAGTTGTATGAGGTTGAAAATACTGATGGGGAGAACAAGCAACAAGTAGTAAACCTAATCAAATATGTCCAGTCAAAGCGAGGGAGCATGATGTGGGAGAATGAGGACCCAACAGTTGTCAGGACTGAGCTCCCAAGTGCAGCACTCTTATCTGCCCTTGTGCAAAGTATGGTGGACGCAATCTTTTTCCAAGGAGATCTTCGAGAAACTTGGGCAGCAGAGGCACTCAAATGGGCCATGGAGTGCACATCAAGACACCTTGCCTGCCGTTCACACCAAATTTATCGTGCATTGCGGCCCCGTGTGACAAATGATGCATGTGTATCACTCCTCCGCAGCCTTCACAGATGTCTAGGAAATCCAGCACCCACAGTTTTGGGTTTTGTTATGGAAATTCTGTTGACATTGCAAGTGATGGTGGAGAATATGGAGCCAGAAAAGGTAATTCTTTACCCTCAGCTGTTCTGGGGGTGTGTTGCCATGATGCACACAGACTTTGTTCATGTTTACTGCCAGGTGCTTGAGCTCTTCTCTCGTGTGATTGATCGTTTATCATTTCGGGATAGAACAACCGAAAACGTGCTCCTATCGAGCATGCCCCGGGATGAGCTCGATATGAGCATCTGTGACAGTACTGACTTTCAGAGGACGGAATCAACCAATGTCTGTGAGACATCACCATCCAGTGGGAAGGTGCCGGCCTTTGAAGGGGTGCAGCCTCTTGTTCTTAAAGGACTCATGTCAACCGTAAGTCATGGTGTCTCTATTGAGGTTCTCTCGCGTATCACTGTTCATTCTTGTGACTCAATCTTTGGGGATGCAGAAACACGCCTGTTGATGCACATCACAGGCTTGCTGCCCTGGCTCTGCTTGCAGCTAAGTCAGGATGCAGTGGTAGGCCCTGCTTCGCCTCTCCAGCAGCAGTACCAAAAGGCTTGCTCTGTTGCAGCCAATATTGCAATTTGGTGTCGAGCGAAGTCATTGGATGAACTTGCCACCGTGTTTATAGCTTACTCCCGTGGTGAGATCAAGAGCATAGACAATCTACTTGCATGCGTATCACCACTATTATGCAATGAGTGGTTCCCAAAACACTCAGCTTTAGCGTTTGGGCACCTGCTGCGACTTCTGGAGAAAGGGCCAGTTGAATATCAGCGTGTAATACTTCTCATGCTTAAGGCATTGCTCCAGCATACTCCCATGGATGCTGCTCAGAGCCCGCATATGTATGCAATTGTGTCCCAGCTGGTGGAAAGCACATTGTGCTGGGAGGCACTTAGTGTGTTGGAAGCCCTCTTACAGAGCTGTAGCTCTGTGCCGGGTTCCCATCCACATGATTCTGGTGCATTTGAGAATGGACATGTCACAGACGAAAAGCTTCTTGCTCCTCAGACCTCATTCAAGGCTCGGAGTGGACCGTTACAGTATGCACTAGGATTAGGGCTTGGGGCAGGTTCCACGCCAGCTCCACAAGGCAGTGCAACTGAATCTGGGATGTCACCTAGAGAGCTGGCATTGCAAAATACGCGTCTGATCCTTGGGCGGGTGCTTGATAGCTGTGCGCTCGGGAGGAGGAGAGATTACAGAAGGTTGGTGCCTTTTGTTACCAATATTGGATACCCATAACCGGCATATTCTTGTTTCCCCAACACGCGTTTGGGTGGGATGGACTGCCGGAATTGCTAGTTTTTCATAGTGGTGGTAGCATGTAACATATTGCTTTGTAATTTTAGTATTAGGGTGCACCCTGTTCTCTCCCTGCCATCTTTGGTAGATATTTTGTAGCGCTCTTCTTTTCTTTTCTTTTTCTTTTTTCTTTTTTTGGGTCAACTAAAATTGTTATACTATACTCAGTATTATCGAAGCAGTTTCATTCCAATATGTGGAGCTGTGAATTTCATCCTTCGTGATACAGGATGAGATATCCTTGTACATGCCTAACTCCAGGTTTCGTGGGTAGTTGCTTCATAGAGTTGCAAGAAATTATTATTGTTGTGGTTTGTTCTGCATAGGGAGGTGAAGAGTTTATGTGATATTCTGGATTGTGAATTGTGGTTGTAAATTAAAATTTTTGATTTAGGGATTTGTGAAAATTCTAGTCAAAATATATTAAAATATTATATTATTTATTTTAAACAACTATTTTATCAAAAATATTGCATAGCTTGACATGTCACTAAAATGTAAAAAAGTAATGCTAGATAGAGTTAAAAATTAGACTTGATAATCTCAACCACTGAATATGTAGTGAAATTCAATAAATGTTAGGACCCACAGTGAATTTAATGGTTAAAATTATCAAATTTAATTTTTAAATTTAATTTTTAATTTCATGTAGTATTGTTTAATATAAAATGACTAGTTCATTAGGGTGCAAAAAGAATGATTTGACTCTTTAAATGTAAAACAATTAGCCAATGAGACTCTAAATTTACNTGTCACTAAAATGTAAAAAAGTAATGCTAGATAGAGTTAAAAATTAGACTTGATAATTTTAACCACTGAATAGATAGTGAAATTCAATAAATATTAGGACCCACAGTGAATTTAATGATTAAAATTATCAAATTTAATTTTTAATTTCATGTAGTATTGCTTAATATAAAATGACTAGTTCATTAGGGTGCAAAAAGAGTGATTTGACTCATTAAATGTAAAATAATTAGCCAATGAGACTCTAAATTTAGAGAGCCATTTAGTCCAAAGATAAAATAACTAGTCAAATAGCTTACCCTCAGAGCAACTTCAACGGGCTATGTAAAAAAATTTGTTTTAGCTATTTTAGATTGGCAGTCCAGAAATTTTGGCTCTAATATTTCCCATAATCCATTATTCGCTCGCTGCATTTGGCGACCTCCAAGGTTAGCTGCTTCCTTAGCAAATGCCATTTTTTGCGCCAAAATCGTCACTCCACATAAGCTCCATCGTCTTCATCATCGCACAAGCTTCATTCCGCAGAAGCTTCATTATCGTAGAGGCAGGTAAGCTCTGTCTGTTTGTCTGTCTCTATCTCTCTCTCTCACACACACACAGAAACTCTTGATCACAACCGGTTTTGGTTGACGATTTTGGAGGTGGGTTCAAGCTTTTTTGTTTCATTCCCTACATATGAAGGTTTTATGTGCACCAATTTGTTCAATTTTCTTGAAAAATCTGGTGGGTAGTTGGTGGTGGGGTTAGTTTTGACTCAGTTCTTTGGGTGGTTGGTTTTGGGGAATTTCCTGCTGAATAGTTGGGGTTAATGATATTATTTGGTCTGTTTTTGTGGCTTCTGAGATTCAAAGTTTGTTTTATGTGGTTTATTGCTTCGTGATTATTTTGTCTAAGTTTAATTTTTTGTCTGCTTCATGAATTTAACTGATATAAACCCTATAATCTTTGCGTCCCACATTCCTTGCACTCCAGAGGAAGCTCTGGGTATCAGAAGGGAAATTCATGGTTATTTTGGCTCTTTTATTGAATGTTCGAGTACATTCTGATCGTGTCTTTCATGACTGGCTGGGTGATGAAAGAAATCTGTTTTCTCAAGTTGCTGAATTTCTAAACTTGTAAGGTTTGATACTTGAAATGGGGAATTGAAAGAAAATTATGGTTATTTTGGTTCTTTTAGTAATTGTTCGAGTACATTCTGATTGCCTTTTTCATGACTGACTGGGTGTGTTCCAACAATTAAATCTTTTTTCTCTAATTTTTGTGTATCTAAACTTGTAAGATTGATAGTTGTAATGGGGAATTGAGAATGGTACATCCCTTCTCCACAATCACACAAGGACACTAAGACATATGTTCAATTAGTTAAAGTAAGTTATGGTTAGGAAGTGTAACTGTCTGTCTTGATTGGAGTCCTTGTTCTTATAGAAATATTATTGACTGAAAGTTGGATTGGTGAGATGAAGCAAGGGTTGGGACCAATGGAATGTAGAATTCTTGTACTGTTGTCTTTATATAAAGGTGAATAAAGAACATGGCTTGTTATTTTAGAATTGGTTTGTCTTTGTGATTCACACTGATTTGGCTCTAGAATCATCTCCCTTTGTTTCTGTTGCTATTGTGGCTAGGCTTTAGCTGGCTGTCATTGTGAATTCTGAATAGTTAGAAAGTATTATGTTTTTGCCTTGCCCTGGTTAGATGCACAGAGTGATTGTCTGTGGGAGATTGCAGAACTGGCATGACTAAACCTCCCAAATTCCACTACTCAATATGTCCTTTATTTGATCAAAGACTAAACCTCCCAAATTCTGCCTTTGCCAAACTGCACTATCACAAACCTCAGCAACACTAGGAAAATGAGAAGGCATCTCCTCTATTATATTCAATAAAGGCCCAGAGCCGAACCAATTTGAACACCAAAAATCCACATTCCTACCATTCCCTACCAAACTCAGAGAATTAGAAATCATAATGTCAAACCAAGGTTTTAGCATTCTAAACTGAGATCGGAAGGGTGAGTTTGTTCTCTGACTTAATTATATGAAGCTTTGCTGATTTTCAGTTCTCACCTATATGAAGCATTCTAAACTGAAAAGTTTGTTAATTCTACCATGGTGGCCATATTGAATTATAGGCATTACTCATGGAACCATTTCAACATGATGCTTACTTCACCAATCTCATGAATGATGGAACAAACTTAGATGATGAGATTATAAGTCAATCTTCACCAATATCTCCTCAAGTAGAATTCATCACCAAAAAACGAGGTAACAATTTTACAGTAGAGGAAAATATTATGATAATCTCGGCATGACTTAATATTAGATTGGATGCTGTGCAAGAAATGAGCAAAAATCAAAGACATATTTGCAAAGGGTTTGAGAGTTCTTCAACGAATACAAATCGAAGGCATGCTATAGGCGTTGCATAATGTCATGCCTCCATTGCATAATGTCAAGCTTAAGGAATACAAACCGATAGATACGAGTGGCATGCCTCCGTTGCAAGCTGAATATTTTCAATGATGTCAAATGGAAATCTTGGAAAAGAAGATGAAGTTCTTTTTTATTAATAGACAAACAACTTTGAAGTAGTAGTAATGATCCTACAAGTACTGTAATAACATTTGCTTAAGTAATGCATAGAAGTTTTCATGCATATTCCACTGATGCTCGATTAGATCAGCTTGGAGTTTGTAATGAGTTTCTTTATCTCGAATGCAATGTTGAGTATTAATAAATTGGAGTAGTTTTGAACTCTGCTCAGGTATGACTGTGGTAATGAGACTCTTATCTATTGTATCATAACTAAATTTCAACGTATTAGCGTTCCACTCATACTCGACAATCATGTTATATAATATTATGCATGACTTTATAATATCCTTAAGCACTTCAAGTGTTCAGAAATGTGTTGGTCCATGCACTATAGCAAATTGTGCTTGGAGCACTCCAAATGCTCGCTCAACATCCTTTCTTGCTGACTCTTGAGATTTTGCAAAATGTATTTACTTATTATCTCTTGGAGATGAAATTGTTTTGATAAATGTCGCCTACTTTGAATATATATCATTAGCAAGATAATATCCCATTGTATAATTGCTTTTGTTGACTGATAAATTGACCGGAGGAGTCCAACCTTTTGAAAGGAGAGCAAAAATAAAATAACGTTCTAGTACATTGATATCATTATGGGATCCAGATAACCTAAAAAATACATGCCAAATCCAGAGATCATATGAAACCACCTCTTGCAAAATAATTGTTGGTTCATGGATGTGACTAGAATACATACCTTTCTATGCTATTGGACAATTCTTCATTTTCCAATTCATACAGTCAATGTTGTCCAACATTTCAGGAAATCCACAATTGGTACTAATTGCTAATAATTTAACAATGTCATCGTTATTTGGTGACCTGAGGTATTTATCAGAAAAAATTGTTACTACCACCCTCATAAATCTTTTCAAACTTTCTGTTGGGGTGCTTTCGCCCATTCTCACAAAATCATCAACAACATCTGCTGTAATTCCATAAGCAATCATCCTTATGACGGCTGTCATTTTTTGAAGGGAAGACAAGCCAGTAATTCCAACAGTGTCTTGTTTTTGGACAAAATATGAATCATAAGCTTTCACCATAGATGGAATACGAAGGAAAAAGATTCAATTCATTCGAAACCTTCTCTGAAATAAATTTGGGGGATAGATAGGCGGTTCAGCAAAATAATCATAATACAGTCTCTCGTGTGCTTGAACTCGATTGCGAAAAATAATTGAATGACTTTGAATAGAACTACGACGTACACCAAAGCTTTTCTCGCTATTGAGTATGTTCATTTCCATAACATAAATTGTTACCATTTCCAATTCGTCATCGGAGTCAGAATCGTTAAGAATTATCTTGATTGCAGGATGACAAAGCACAACATAAACATAAAGAAGAATGTAATATCAATAAATATATTTGAGGTTTATAACAATGAGAGAGAGAAAATCCTATTTATACATATCAAAAAATATGACCGTTGTAACTATGACCGATGTTAATATGACCGTTAAAAAATTTAAAAATTTAAAATTTTGATAACGTGATCGTTATAAATATAACCGTTATTAATAAAAATCAAAATTTTGAAATTTTGATAACGTGGCGTAACACGTCAGCGTGTGATGTCATCAATATGGTGATGACGTGATATGTTACATAGTATTTTAGATTTTAATAATTAATAGTTAATTGAAGCTAGTTAAAATAGAGAGCGTTATTGGAATGAATTAGTAGGAGTTGGTATTTAAAATAGATAGTGTAATAAAAAAGTATATTTTGACTAGTTATTCTAAATAGCCTCAGAGTTGCTCTTAGTTAAATTTTATGGTTTGACTCTTTATTTTAGCTAACAAATATAAAATAACTAGCTTCATGGAGATGCTCTAAACCCATCATAGACGAAACAAATGGCAGAATCAAAAAATGGGAAGAAAGAAAAGAGCATATAACATAGCCAAGGTATCCGTTTGTATGTTTATACCTGCATTCCAATCCCACTAACAACTTCTACAACTAAACAAACTGCAATACAACAACGCACAGGAATAATACAGAGTCCACATTGCATATAGGCCTCTGTATACTTTCAGCAAGGCAACTCAACTTCAAACGTTGAGCAGCGCACTTACCTTATTGAAACTCCACTCATTAGACCATAGAAAACTCTGAATCCCCATTCAATACAATTGAACAAACAGCTTCTACAATTAAACAAACTGCAATACAATAATGCACAGGAAGAATACAGAATCCACATTGAATATAAGCTTCTGTATACTTTCAGCGAGGCAACTCAACTTCAGGAATTGATCAGCATACTTACCTTATTGAAACTTGACTCATCAGACCATAGAAAACTCTGAATTCCTGATTCAATGCGATTGATCCGGCCTTCAGAGTGTCTTCATGGTAAAAAGAGGTCATCACTGCCAGGTCCATTACTGCAGTGCCCCCAAACAGGAGAATTCATTCGCGTGGTGATGCGTTTTTCTTGAACAAGGAATAGGAATCGCTATAAATGGCCACCAGGTTCGAGAAGACAGCAAGGACAATCATGAAAATACACAAAATCTTGTCCTTCATTGTTGCTATGCCATGATGGTCCCTGAAATTGCATAAAAACCATACCATTCAATTCAAGAGTACGAAATGTCGACCACAGCTCACAGAAGTTTGGACCTTGCTTCAGAAGACTATAACTTAACATCATTCAAAGACTCAAAATGAGTAAAATATTATTTTGATATAGAACAATCCTCAGAAACCCTGATAAATAGGTACAAGCAGGACAGTTGGCATATAATGTGTTACTTGGTACTAACCACTGTTTCAGTGGTCAAAATTCGGCCTTAAATTCTCACTCTAAGTTTCAGTATTGAAAATAGGATACCTGATCTTCCAATTAAATCCAGCAAGAAAATTGGTAGCTTACCTAAGAGTAATGGCAGCAGGAAGGATGAACCCAATGCAAACTGCTGCAGTTGCTCCTGTGAACTGAAAAACATCCCAAATGCTGGGTATAAAATTTGCCCCCAAGAAGATGAGAGTAATTAGCCCAGCACTGATTAATACAAATCTAAAGTTGTCTGAAGTCAAAGGCCTGGCCAAAGGGAAGAGTAGGCCGTTCAAGTTCAACCGCAATGGATAGAAAACAATGGGAAAGACAAGCATCAAGTGGGCAGCATAGCTAACACGCACAGCATCACTAAGCAGGGAGCCATACGAAATTCCAAGGTCAGTGTCGAAGTTGGCGAGCACATCATCAAGAGTTGCATCACCGAAAAGAAGGAATCCAAATAGGCTAGTCAGTACATACACAGTTGAGCAGAGAGCAAGCGAGGCTCGTACAACTGATTTTATCTGTTTGTTGTCTTCAAGTTCATTGTCTATGGAGTGAACTGCAAAATTTTCGCAGAAAGATCAGCTCCTTGTAATGTTAACACCTCCAAATGAAAAGCCACAACCAATTTCTAAGGGATGGAATCAAAATGATAAAATTACTTCGGATTACAATTCAAGTCTTTGAGAATTAGGAATTGAAATCACAATTTTAATGGAAGGTATATGATTGCAGATGCCAATACCCTGTATAACTGGAACATTATAGAGGAATCATGTGGCTGCAATGATAACAAATCGGTTCCTCAGACACAGACTATACAATAATGCATCGAGTCATTAATTTCATTAACCAAAAACACTTGTTATCTGAAAACATCATATAGGTTAAGAAATAAAGGCTTTTCTGAATAAAATTGCCCCCAGATTGATCAGCCCAGGGGCACACCTAAAAAGTGGCTGTGTGTAATAAAAGTGAATTCAAGTCACCTGATCTGAACTGCTTATTTAGTAGTCTAGTCTTGACATCCCAGATGAAAACAGGATGCTTGCATATAATTAATAATATAAGCTAAAAATTAGCTTACATACCATTGTAGTGGCAGATGTATGCAGTGACAAGAACAGGGACAACGGTGAAGAGATTAAAGAACGATGTCAAATCATAAACATCAGGAAGCAATCTAGGCATCAAAATGCTTCCACTTATCAACTTGAAAATGGTGATTCCTGCCGTAATAACCAGGAACACAACCGCTAGTCCAACTGATAAAGCAGAAGTGAATCTTAATGAATCTGCAACCACAAAAAAGGCACATATAATCACCACATCATAGTGTTAACCAAACAATGTAACAATGGATTCTTTATTAGGGTATTCTGTGGCTGTGAAAATAAAAGGTTTTATATATCCTTGAAGGTAAAATAGAAGGTAAACATGTGATACGACCTGTAAACCATCAGAATATCGAGAGATTTCATTGAAGTGAATGACCACAAAATAAAGAAACAATTTCAAAAAGTATGAGCTTGCTAATAATTTCCGAATTCAAAAGAAAAGCGAAGAAGTAAGAAAGAAAAGAAAAGAAAAAGGACTAACCAATACGTTTTAAGCTTGCCAATGGAGCAAATATAGCAAGGGTAGTGACAAGAAGAACAAAGAAACGCCCATTCCACCAGTGCATTCCAAACCAACCTTCCAGGACACCAGCATGGTGAATTCCACTTGAGGTTGTTCCAGAAAGCACATCACCTATAAATACATGATTCAAGAAATTGCCACTAAATTATCTTGAGCTAATATACACATAAAAAGTAAGAAATCCTCACAAGATTGGCATGGTAATGGAATACTTAACGAATCAGAAACATTAATAACGACGAAAATTGAATTACATGATGGCTGTTTGAAATTAAATCTTACCAATAATGATCATGTACACAACAAGAACACCAACATTGTTGACCAAAATACATATTTGCAGCAACATTCTGCCATACTTGCCAAAAGCTTCACCCATTACACCTCCATAAGAAACCGTTTTGCCAGCTCTACTAAACCTGATCAACAACTCAATTGAAGCCTCTGTTAGAAATGCCATGAAGATGATCAAAGCAATTCCAAGAACAAGACCCAACACTTTCATAGTTGCGGGCAAGGCCATGATTCCTGCACCAACAATTGTGGTGGACAAATTGAACACTGCCCCACCAAATGAAGCCCCATTGAACTCATCAAACCCACCATCTTCCTCTTGCTTACTGGGTAAGAGAGGGGCTTTCTCATCAACAACCTGCTTGCCCTTTCGAGATTTCTTCTCTTTAGCTGGTTTAAGACTTCCAATCGTCATCTTCTAATTCTTTAGCTCTTCAAGTAATGATTGAAACTTATTGACTGTTTCGGGAACAGCTCAAACTTCTTGGATTTAACTGCAAGAAGACCTGTAAATAGAACTTGAGAAAATTATTAGATGATTCAATTGTTCTATTTCAATTCCAATATTCCACAAAAGTAGAATTTTTAACCAAAGTCCTGAAGTAATTTGGGTACAAGTTTGTAAGAAGCTGAGTGTATAAAAGTTAATTCAGCATTTAATTTGGCAAGTAGAGTTTCTTTTCAGAACTAAACAAGAAACTAACAGAGTGATCGAAAGATCTCCCTTGCTACGCCGGGGATGGGAGTTTGAAGAGGTAGATCAACCAAAAATATTCCTAAAACGTCCCAAAAATCACTTGAAAATTCTCAAAGGAAACAATTGCTGTCAAATATTTTCACAGAAAGTAATGTTTTGAAGACTGAAACGACTAGCACATAAATTCCCAAGCCTAAAACAGCAAAATTCAAAAAACCCAATTCGCAAAAGCACTAAAATATCTGCATCTTACCTTAAATGGTTCAAATCAACTACAAAACCGATGGATTCGAACAAAACGGGGGCAAAAATTGAAACGGGTCGATATAAAACGCAAGACCCAGTAATTTAAGTAATCCCAATTAAGCTTCAAAATCAACAAAAACAAAGCAAAAGCTATCAACAGAACCACCCTACAAATGAGAGATTAAGAACAACGAAAGGAGAAGAAGAATGTCCTTTTGTAAATCAATGAGCTCAAGAGAAGAATTATTTAAAGAAGAATAAGAAGGTATAAAGGAAGAGGTTCACGCAACGCTATCGTATTATATTATATCCGGACTGATTCTAAGGTACGACTTGACTGGAAAAAAAATCACGCGACGACAATTTAAAAAAAAGACCTATGGTCCCGGTGGAATTACTGTTTACTTTTTATAAATTAATATTGGGTTTGAATTTTATTAGGGTTTTTTAACATCGTCTAGTGACGTCTTTGCCAATGGATTTGTCCTATCACCTCCTGAAAACCCTAAAAACGAACAATCAAGGGTTTCAGGCAATTTTCAGTTGCAATTGGAGAAAAAAACAAGTGATTTTCGGGTAATAACGTCAAGACTGAATCATCGGAGTCGGAGACGGAGATAATAACATGTTGAGTAAATTATATCCACACCCCTTAAGATTTGTCTTATTCAAATAACACTCAAATGTTTCAGTAAATTCAAGAAATTATCCATTGGACCGATTAGAATTTGATCTTTTTCACAGATTAGAATTTGATCACTAGATTATAAGAGTTTAAACTAAGTATTTATATTCCAACACGTTGTTTTATATGTACACTAAATTTTGGGTCTAACTTGTAATTTTTTTTAATAATTAAATTCCTTATTTTGGTACTATGTTATACAATTATCTCAAAGTTTAAACGGTCAAAAAATGTATAACTTATAACATATCTATATATATATATATATATATATATATATATATAACATAAATACTCATCCCAACTATTTTTACTATTACACTATTTAAATTTAAAGAATTAAAGCCTTCAACATAGGAAAAGGCATGGCAAAACAAAAAACCTAGCCAAGGAAAAAAAGGTTGATATCTTTCTTTAATATCTTCTAACTTTGTTTGTTTGTGGTTTTTTTTTGGTTTAATGGTCATAGATATTCGGGTCAATTTATGTGCACTTTAATTAATTCTCTTTTTGATCCGGTAGTCAAACCATCCACGCAGAGATTAAGATATTTTTGAGAGATACATTCCTCGTAGTAGTAATTCACAAACTATTAAGTAATTCTCAAAATAAATAACAATTGTAGTTGATTCATAATTTGTAACAAAAAATGTACTAAAAAAAAAAGGAAAATCCCATTTTGTTCCTTGAAAGATGCAAAAAAAATTAGTTTACCCCTCAAATAATTAATTTTTTCACATTATCCCCTTAAAAAAATAAAAACGTTGCAATGTGGTCTAACGTCTTATTTTTGTTTGATTATCCGTCTGTTTTATACGAAATCAACCAATTAAGAATCATAAAATAGACAGATGACCAAATAAAAATAAAATGATGGACCATATTACAACGTTTTTTATTCTTTTGAAAGGATAATATAAACTAAAAAAGTTTGCATCATTTAAGGGCAAAATGGGATTTACCAAAAAAAAAAAAAAAGACAAAAATAAACGTGTTCCACACGCCGCACTAACTAAAATAAGATGCCCCTTGAGTGTGTGAAAAAACAACAAACACTTGCAATCAAACATAAAATATTAAACAAAGCTGCGTGGTCAAGTGGACTACCGACCAAATTTCATGTTGAAAGAAAATTTAAATTGAGATTCGATGATTAATGACTAACTTAATTAAATTTGTTTTCAAAATGAGTAATGGGTGGAGTCAGAAATTTGATGATTCCACCGGCGATGACTTATAGGGATAATCTCGGATGCACTCCTTTGCCCTCGCCCTTTTTTTATCTGCAANAATATACACATAAAAAGTAAGAAATCCTCACAAGATTGGCATGGTAATGGAATACTTAACGAATCAGAAACATTAATAACGACGAAAATTGAATTACATGATGGCTGTTTGAAATTAAATCTTACCAATAATGATCATGTACACAACAAGAACACCAACATTGTTGACCAAAATACATATTTGCAGCAACATTCTGCCATACTTGCCAAAAGCTTCACCCATTACACCTCCATAAGAAACCGTTTTGCCAGCTCTACTAAACCTGATCAACAACTCAATTGAAGCCTCTGTTAGAAATGCCATGAAGATGATCAAAGCAATTCCAAGAACAAGACCCAACACTTTCATAGTTGCGGGCAAGGCCATGATTCCTGCACCAACAATTGTGGTGGACAAATTGAACACTGCCCCACCAAATGAAGCCCCATTGAACTCATCAAACCCACCATCTTCCTCTTGCTTACTGGGTAAGAGAGGGGCTTTCTCATCAACAACCTGCTTGCCCTTTCGAGATTTCTTCTCTTTTGCTGGTTTAAGACTTCCAATCGTCATCTTCTAATTCTTTAGCTCTTCAAGTAATGATTGAAACTTATTGACTGTTTCGGGAACAGCTCAAACTTCTTGGATTTAACTGCAAGAAGACCTGTAAATAGAACTTGAGAAAATTATTAGATGATTCAATTGTTCTATTTCAATTCCAATATTCCACAAAAGTAGAATTTTTAACCAAAGTCCTGAAGTAATTTGGGTACAAGTTTGTAAGAAGCTGAGTGTATAAAAGTTAATTCAGCATTTAATTTGGCAAGTAGAGTTTCTTTTCAGAACTAAACAAGAAACTAACAGAGTGATCGAAAGATCTCCCTTGCTACGCCGGGGATGGGAGTTTGAAGAGGTAGATCAACCAAAAATATTCCTAAAACGTCCCAAAAATCACTTGAAAATTCTCAAAGGAAACAATTGCTGTCAAATATTTTCACAGAAAGTAATGTTTTGAAGACTGAAACGACTAGCACATAAATTCCCAAGCCTAAAACAGCAAAATTCAAAAAACCCAATTCGCAAAAGCACTAAAATATCTGCATCTTACCTTAAATGGTTCAAATCAACTACAAAACCGATGGATTCGAACAAAACGGGGGCAAAAATTGAAACGGGTCGATATAAAACGCAAGACCCAGTAATTTAAGTAATCCCAATTAAGCTTCAAAATCAACAAAAACAAAGCAAAAGCTATCAACAGAACCACGCTACAAATGAGAGATTAAGAACAACGAAAGGAGAAGAAGAATGTCCTTTTGTAAATCAATGAGCTCAAGAGAAGAATTATTTAGAGAAGAATAAGAAGGTATAAAGGAAGAGGTTCACGCAACGCTATCGTATTACATTATATCCGGACTGATTCTAAGGTACGACTTGACTGGAAAAAAAATCACGCGACGACAATTTTAAAAAAAGACCTATGGTCCCGGTGGAATTACTGTTTACTTTTTATAAATTAATATTGGGTTTGAATTTTATTAGGGTTTTTTAACATCGTCTAGTGACGTCTTTGCCAATGGATTTGTCCTATCACCTCCTGAAAACCCTAAAAACGAACAATCAAGGGTTTCAGGCAATTTTCAGTTGCAATTGGAGAAAAAAACAAGTGATTTTCGGGTAATAACGTCAAGACTGAATCATCGGAGTCGGAGACGGAGATAATAACATGTTGAGTAAATTATATCCACACCCCTTAAGATTTGTCTTATTCAAATAACACTCAAATGTTTCAGTAAATTCAAGAAATTATCCATTGGACCGATTAGAATTTGATCTTTTTCACAAATTAGAGCACTGTTCATTAGATTATAAGAGTTTAAACTAAGTATTTATATTCCAACACGTTCTTTTATATGTACACTAAATTTTGGGTCTAACTTGTAATTTTTTTTAATAATTAAATTCCTTATTTTGATACTATGTTATACAATTATCTCAAAGTTTAAACGGCCAAAAAATGTATAACTTATAACATATCTATATATATATATATATATATATATATATATATAACATAAATACTCATCCCAACTATTTTTACTATTACACTATTTAAATTTAAAGAATTAAAGCCTTCAACATAGGAAAAGGCATGGCAAAACAAAAAACCTAGCCAAGGAAAAAAAGGTTGATATCTTTCTTTAATATCTTCTAACTTTGTTTGTTTGTGGTTTTTTTTTGGTTTAATGGTCATAGATATTCGGGTCAATTTATGTGCACTTTAATTAATTCTCTTTTTGATCCGGTAGTCAAACCATCCACGCAGAGATTAAGATATTTTTGAGAGATACATTCCTCGTAGTAGTAATTCACAAACTATTAAGTAATTCTCAAAATAAATAACAATTGTAGTTGATTCATAATTTGTAACAAAAATGTACTAAAAAAAAAAGGAAAATCCCATTTTGTTCCTTGAAAGATGCAAAAAAAATTAGTTTACCCCTCAAATAATTAATTTTTTCACATTATCCCCTTAAAAAAATAAAAACGTTGCAATGTGGTCTAACGTCTTATTTTTGTTTGATTATCCGTCTGTTTTATACGAAATCAACCAATTAGGAATTATAAAATAGACAGATGACCAAATAAAAATAAAATGATGGACCATATTACAACGTTTTTTATTCTTTTGAAAGGATAATATAAACTAAAAAAGTTTGCATCATTTAAGGGCAAAATGGGATTTACCAAAAAAAAAAAAAAAGACAAAAATAAACGTGTTCCACACGCCGCACTAACTAAAATAAGATGCCCCTTGAGTGTGTGAAAAAACAACAAACACTTGCAATCAAACATAAAATATTAAACAAAGCTGCGTGGTCAAGTGGACTACCGACCAAATTTCATGTTGAAAGAAAATTTAAATTGGGATTCGATGATTAATGACTAACTTAATTAAATTTGTTTTCAAAATGAGTAATGGGTAGAGTCAGAAATTTGATGATTCCACCGGCGATGACTTATAGGGATAATCTCGGATGCACTCCTTTGCCCTCAGCCCTTTTTTTATCTGCAACCCCCCAACCCAGGCCCCACACACACTCACATTTATTTATTATTAATTCTAACATAGACACGAGCTTCTGTCTGTTGTTGTTATGACAACTCTAAAGTTTTATGACGAAATGCCAATAAAGTAAATACTGTATTGTCTCTTTTTGAGTTTGCATCAAACTCCAGTCTTATAATTTTGTGTTAGCGTCATATTCATACTATAATTCACGGACGAAAAATCTAAAGCTGAAATTTTCTTTTCTCTTTAACAAATTCAGAACTAAATGAAGATATTGATTGTGTCAAAATCGAATTATACTTGTTTTACATTAATTCTATTTATTTATTATTTATATTACTTAATTTGTTATGGTATCAAATTGTTTAATTTGCTAAATTATTTAGAGTTTTGAAAAGCGAGGATTATAATAATCTATATAATAAAATAAAAGAGTTTTGAATTCTTAATTTATTTTATTTTTTTTGTGGTTTAAATCACTTTAAAATTATTTATTTGACAAACTTAATTAATCTACAAATTTTTTTCCAGGCTGATTCAATTCTTTATAATAATATTATTATAAAAACCATATGCAATGGGTGACATTAAAATAGGTGGGTCGGGGCTATTTCACATCAGGTAATCTTAAGGTATATGGGCGTATTTATATAAACTCTGCAACATTCACCTTATAAGGTGTTAATTGTAGTTATTCTTTGGTCAAAAAAATTGTGTGTTTCAAATTTGCTTGTTTGTGGGCTCTGTTATTCTTCTTTTGTGGGCTTGCTCATGGTGATAGGTCGAATGAGACTTTTTTTTTATGTCGAATAACCTTAAAATGTGTGCGTTTATATGGACTTTACGATCTCTATTTTTTAAATCGTTAGTTGCAATTATCCTCCGTTCAAAAAAAGTGGGTGGATCATGGTCACGGTGAGGGCTAGAGTCTGAATTGTTATCATATTGTAGCATGACCTGGATTGTGGCCGCATTACGAGAATTGGTCCCCACAAGAAGGATAATGTTCGTCAGGTAGGCGTAGGCTGCAGTGGTCGGCGGACGCGACGCCGCGCACAAGAAAATGTTAACCGACCATTTTATCTTTCTGCTTCTAGACATATAATTCGGCGTGGCAGTTATATCCGATAAAACAGGTTCGTGTCAAAAATATATGCGAAATTATATTATGTATATTATATATAATTAATATATTAATAAATTATATTATATATTTGTTTGATTAATTTTATTTATATTTAATTAATTTATTAATTGTGTCAGATACATTCTTTCATAAAATAAATGATTTAAATAAAATTTAAATCTTTTAATTTTGTACCCTATCTGTTCGTGTGGATAGCACCATATTTTTGATTAGATAGGATAGAAATTGATTTGATCCAAGGANTTAATTTTGTACCCTATCCGTTTTCGTGTGGATAGCACCATATTTTTTATTAGATAGGATAGAAATTGATTTGATCCTAGGGAAATATTTTTTTGGTAACCAATACATTTACTTGGATAGGAAGGATGAGACACGTGGAACCCATTGATTTGACCTGTCCATCATCTTTTAACTTTTCTTTTGCTGATTTTACCGTCATACGCATACCACCAATATTACTTTAATCCATACTCTTTTAGTTTTTTTAACGATTAAATACGTCTATTAAAATTCAACACAAATACGATTAATCAGTACAAATCAAATGAGTTTAGACGAGACATTAATAAATTCGGGTGATAAATGAATTGACTCGTTTAACATGTTTAATAAACAGATCATGTTTGGGTGAGACATGTTAACTCGTTTTTCTCTTTAAACAAAATTAATATAATAATAAATAAATAATTATTTTTAAAAAATTAATTAATTTTTTATTTTTTAACGACAGTTACACAGAAAAAATATAATGTTATTTTTCCCTAACCCTAATCTAATTCCATCGAAGTTGAACGACCGAAGCTTTGCTGTTGCACCTCCAGGCCCTCTACTCTTTTGTTCTCTCTCTCTCTCTCTCTCAGCGAGCAGGTAAATCTTTGAGCTATTTCAAATCTTTGGGCTAAGCAGAGCTCACTGACCATGATAAATCTTTAGATTTTTCAGATCTTAGTCCTAATTTGATCAGTTAATTTTAGATTTGTATTAGATAGGTATTTCAGGGTTAGATCGGTATTTCAGTGTTAGATTAATAGACATTTCAATGTTAGATTTGTATCTAGATATGTGTTCTTTGTTATTCGACTGTGCTGCTGATGAATAAAATTAGATCGATAAGTCTTTGGTATTCGACTATTTTCATGATGTCTATATGACAGATAATTGATACTTTTATGTTTCTCTCAACCCAATTTAATCTCATTTACAATTTCAATTGTATTAATCAATTGATACTTGATACTTTTACGTGTGCATTGAATCTTAAGAAATAACATTCTAAAATGACAGTCTGAGCTCCAAATCTAATTCTTGGGTGTCACTGGATTCAGAGTTCTGACTGCTTGTTGAATTTGAATTGTTTCTGTCTTTCTTTCTCCTCTTTTCCACCGAGTCCTACATGATCAATAGCAAGGACAATTTGTTATGATAAAAGTAACTTGTTCACTAGTCTTATTGCTTACGTCAATTATTTTGTCACAGTCCAACTTCATTTAAGATTGGGCCTATTGAGTGGGTTGTCAAGATGACTATTAATCCTAAAAAAGATTGGTTATGGTAGTGATTTTCGGTGATTGCCTATGTAGTGTCACAAGTTGTGCCCTACATATTTTCCTTAAAAAGCAAGAAGGGCAATGAGACCCTAGGGTGCAAGATCCAAAAGGTTCTCCGAGGATGATTCATGCGTGAACCGGTGTGATTGATAATATTTTTCATATGCTTGAATATATAAATCTTTAATTTATGCCTTGTATATTTCTAATGTTGAGATGTGGCGACGGGGTGATGGCGGTGGCAATAGTGGTGATGGTGACAGGGCAGAGATAATGGTGGTTGTGGGATGACGGTCGTGGTAGGATGGCAGTGATGGGGCGATAGGAGTGGTGGTGGTGGGACCATTCCAGACACTTTTTTTTAGTACTTAAAAGAAATATTTTTTGAAAAGTAACTCCAAGCACATCTTTAAAGAGCCTATTATCCCTATTAAATTTGAGGAGTTAATATTAGCCGTCATATTAACTTTAAAATAAAATTTAAAACAATTTGACCCGTGAAAAACAAAAGTCATTTAGTTTTTTTTTGAAATTTGAATTATATTGTATTTTATTATATAGATTAGTAAGTAGTTAAGTCCACTTTTTTTTAGTCTTAAAAATACCCCTAAGAGCATCTTTATCCTTGACTTAAATGTAGACTCAAATTTAAATTTGAGTCAAAATGGCCTAAAAATTTTTTCCAACCTTTAACTCAAATCTATACCAAATCAAGACAAAACTTATTCTGGACCCAAATTGAAGCAAACTCAAATTCTATACCAATTTCGAACGGTAACTTTTTAACCTATCTAAAATTAAAAGACTTCTTTGACTACTTATTCCTGCCTCTTCTTTACTACACTGCTTTCATCGCCCAACCACCGCCGAAGCTTTCACAAATTATTTGAAGGCCTGTAGGTAAGTGTTTTACTTTTCATCTTTCATCTTTCATCTTCTTAATTTCTTGTATTTTTTAAAACCCTAATCTCACCTATCTTTCATACTATATAAACCCTAAGTCTACTCATCAAATTTTTCTTTGATTTTTTCGAGTTAAACACTATTGGTAGTATAATTTCAGACCACCGATTCTTCCTGAAATTTTAAATCTTTGGTACCTACAAATTTAAAAAATTTGTCATTTTATTTCTTTAATCTTCCATTTTTGTTAAAAACGTGTGTTGTTGTGTTCTTCAGACCATGTCCATGTTAACTATTTTTTTTTCTTTATCTGAATTTATAAAAAATGGTAAGGGATTAGAATAATCTTAGAATTCTAGGATGTTTTATTTATTTTCATGTAGTGTTGTATACATATTTATTTTTATTTTTTTTGAATTATCCATTTGTGGAAAGATGAAAGTTTTATTTATTTTATAAAATATTATTATTTGAATGTCACAAAAAAACGAGTTTTGAGATAATAAGGGAATTTTTTAAAATATTTGAGTGGATATTTGAGTTTGTTAATTGGAGTACTCTATACCAATTCAAATTTTTTACTCAAATTTAAATTCAAATTTGAGTCATGATTAAAGATGCTCTAACAATGTTAGTTTTGCTCAGTTATGAAAAACTAAAGACATTAGTTGTAAAGAGATATATATGGAGACCGGTGATTGAATATAGAAATGCTTGATTTATGATGGTAGATTATAAGCTTTCCTTAATAATTCAAATTTAAATTCTTAGTCATTATTTGTTCTATTATACATTTGAATAACAGACTTTTGAGTTTTTGTAGGTATTTTGAAGGTGATAAAAGTTGAAGCTAGAGTTTGATGTTTTTTGTAGTCAAAGTACGAATATGAGTTCGAGTTCAACTTACTATTAATTGGAGTTCGGGTTGGTCTTGACTTCGTATGCTGGAACAATTTTTTATTTAGATTTCTTAAGATATTCATTGTAATTAGTTGCTTTATCTACTACGAATAATAGAGTTATATTTGCAATTATCGGAATTTCAATGTTACTTGCCACAATTTGGAATATACCGTTCGTTTATTTTAAGCGTTGACTTGGTAGGTACACAAATTAGATGACAGCAATGGAGTACGTATTCATTGATAGGTTTAGGTACATGTTCGTTATGATTTACGTAATTTTGAATTGTGTTTGATTTTATGTATTTGTATGCTTGTAATGGTGTCTATGTACATTCTTCTCAATTAAACATTGATGTATCTGAATGATCATGTATGTTATATCTTGTGTACCTATGTAAACACGTATCTATTAATTATGTACCTGTTATATTTGCTAATACATTTTTGTGTGTGTGCAATCATGAATATTTGTGAGTGTAATTACTTTTCATATTCAATTTTTAGTTTGTTAAGAATGGATATGTAACTTCTTTGGTAAAATTTTAGTTACTTGTTTATATACCTATTGGTCATTTACATGTGTTTTAACAATTTGAACATTTCTTTGATTTTTTAGGGAATGGAATAAATTGTGCGAAGTGTACATTTGATTCAGTTACTTTGTTGTTGATCTCAACGATTTGTGGTACGTATAAAGATCTTTCTAATATAACTTTTAGATTTGAAAATTTAAAGAGTTTTGCTTCTAGCGAAAGTTACTATATAGATTATAACCATAAATGTTTGGTTGAATCTGATAAGAATTTCAGACTTATGATGTTGTCTCAGTCGTTGTCAAATTCAAAATTATTGATTTATACGTGTTGCATAATAATGTAGCTTTTTAGGGTACGTTAATCGAGAATAAATTAATTTTTTTAATATACTTGTCTATCGATCTGTATTTATAGAAAAAAAAAAGTACATAAATAGGTGTTTCAATTGTATAAGACTTACGACATTATCGTTATTTTTATAATTTTAAAGAACGTTTAGTTATATCAATTTTTAAGAGGGGCTTAATGCAAAAGGAAATTGATGAGTGAGTCTTGTTGAAATCCTATTGGACCTATGTACCAGCCTCCAAAAGACTTTAGTTAGGTCCGGTCTATGTCTGATTCCTATATGGGCTAAACTGGGTCTATGTGTGATTTGATAACGGGCCTAACAGCCCAGTTGGGAGCATAGACTAGTCCAGCAATGGGCCGATCGTCACCTTTAGCCATCTTCGCACATGGTCCTGAGTCGGCCCAATTTTCAACTCCTGTGCCTGATCAACGACTTCCAGCTTCCGAGGACGAGTACATACTAGAGAATTACAAATTCATTTCCCCACATATGATGATGAAATTACTCTGAAAAAACGTTGTATGTCGTAGTTTTTTTTTATCCCACGATCTCTAAGCCGAGAAATATCTGACGGGTACGTTGTTTTATAGCCTTTATTCAGATTTAGTTTTGTTATTGCAACTATTTTCTTTTGAATTTCCTTTTTTTTGGAGATAAAATGGATGTAAAATTGTAGTGTAATTAGATTTATAGCATTTTTTTTTCTATAATTTTAGGGATTGGTATTTCGAATTGTTGATTTCTGGGTCGTCGTTGAATACTTAGAGCATTTTTATTGTTGATTTTTTATTTATTTATTATTTCTGGGATTTCTTAATAGTTGCCGTTGGACATTCTTGTAAGAATGATATTTTAATTTAATGGTTATTGCTTCCATTTGGCAGTCCTATAGTTGTTTGGTTACTATGTGTTTTGGCTGTTGCAAAACTGTACAGAAAGTTAATTTTAGATGTAAAGTGACCAAGGCTTTTCACTCTTTTTCACCTTGTTGATTGATCTTAGTGTTGATTGTAAAAGGGTGGGTTCATGAGCCTCCAACCATTGCAGGTTGGGGGAGGGTTAAATCTACGCAACCCCGTGATGCAAACCCCAAGGCCCAGGGTTTGAGTGTTGATTGTATTGCTGTAAAATTGGAGGAATCAGTAGTTATAGCGATGCAATGGGGGGATTATCAGTTGGAAATACACACACACACACACTACCTTTCTTCCAATATCTTATTTTCCTGCTGTATTTAAATGGCTATTCATCAACACTCCTGAAGGTTGATGAACCTCACATTATCGGGCACCCAGGGTGGGTATGTCTTTTTTCCATGCTGAAATAGGAGCAAGGAAGGCATAGATATAATACACACACACACATATGTATACGTATCTTTGCTTTTAGCTTTTAATCTGTTGGAAAATTAATTGATTTGATAGCCTAATTTTATTACTTTTACAAATATTATGTGATCTGCTTTTACATTAACATTTTGATCTGCTATTTGTTTTAATCTGTTGTATTCTTTTTCATTCTGATTTTGGGTGGGGTCCTGGGGGAAGATTTGAGTTTCCTGGTGGTGGTGGTTAATTCTGATGATATTTTTGTTTCAGTTTTAAAACCAGATCAAGGTGGACCATTGTAATGGATCCTGATATCATCCACGATACATCTGCTCCTGGTGAGGATGCCAATGCTGATGAGCCAGAGGTGGAGTTAAATAACATTGCCACACTTGAAAAGACATCATATAGTGGAGATATTCTGCAAGAGCTTGAAAATGCAGGGGAGGTTCTAACTAGAGCTGAACTAGATTTAGCATGTTTATCTGAGAAGTTGCTTAATTTGAATATACTTATGATGCACGTGGCAACTAAAGAAAGTGACTTTGAGGCCTTTGTAATGGACAAAGAGCATATTTATAGTGACTCTGCTGAGAAGGCACTGGAATTTGATCTTTTATCTGGAATTCTGGATTCAGAGGTGGAAGAACTAGATGACTTCATGTCTACTCTTCAAACTGATGTTGTCACTTCTCGTGAGGTTATATCTTCATTTGAGCACCTGGGAGAAGTTGTAGAAGAGAAGTTGCATGATTCAGAAGAATCGTTGAAGCAGTCACTGGAGCAGTTATCAGAATTAAAGTTGCAATCTGCAAACTTCCAGAAGATCTTGTCGACTTTTGATGCAGATGAAAATAGTAAGCTCCTAATGTTTAAAATTATTTTCTTGTTTAACTTATATTTGTGTATTAGTGTGAATCAGACGTGGGGTGCCTCTTAGATAGACCGATAAGTGGTCAAATGCATACTTCTACTGGAAATGACCAGGCTAGTGTTGTTGGGGCAGGGGGCCAATTTGAAGTTTGTCTGTTAGAAGCACCAATAGTTTGTTTCCTATCCAAAAAAAAAGAACTTTTTTTTCACATGGCATTCTTGTTGAGCAGATCTCATTCAAATCTTTCCCTGGAGCTCTTTTTTTGGGTTGGGGGTGGGATTAGAGATTAAAACTTGTGATTTTATGATTATCTTAATCTCTGCCACTGGAAAGGACATGACAAATAAGAAGTTAGTAATCTTATTTCACCATAAAGCGTGCGTTTTGGCAGGGAAAGATGATGGTGTGGAGTTTCAAGAAAATGATGAATTTTCAAACCTCAATGTAAAGATAAAAATGCAAACTGCTGAACAACAGAGGCATATTCTTAGGATGCTTGAGAAATCTTTGGCAAGAGAACTGGATTTTGAGAAGAAAGTAACTGAATCAAGACAAATTGAAGAAGACTTGAGACTAAGGTTGCATTCTTCAGAACAAGAAGTTTTCTTCCTTGAAGAAGAAGCTGCTGTCATTTGCACAAGGTTGTTTGAAGCAGACAATGCTGCTGGCGTCCTAATGGGAATTTCAAAAGAACTATTGGGTCGACTTCAGATCCTACAGTTTAATCTTAATAGTTCAAATCAGCGAGAAGGAGAATTGAGATCTAAGCTACAAGATATCTCTGAACAGTTAAAAGCCAAAGACAGTACTTTGCAGAAGCTTGAGAGTAGTGGTGAAAAGCTTATCAATGATTTGGCAATTGTAGCTGAGGATCTGAAAGAGAGAATTTCTAAAGCAGAAAGCAGGGCGGAGAATGCCGAAGCTAAATGTAAACTGCTGGCAGAGACTAATATGGAGCTCAATGAAGAGTCAAATCTTCTTAAGAGTACCTCTGACAAAGTGGATTCACTTGAGAGGCAGCTCAGGGAGTCAGATATTCAGCTACAACATGCGGTGGCATCTGCGGAAGCAAGTCAGGAGAAGCAAATCATGTTGTATTCTACGATTGAGGATATGGAGAATTTAATTGAAGGTCTGAAGTCAAAGGTTTCAAAAGCTGAAAGTCGGGCTGATAGTGCAGAAGATAAGTGTATTATATTATCTGAGGCTAATTCAGACCTCAATGAGGAACTTGGTTTCCTTAGGGGCAGAATGGAATGCTTGGAGGCATCTTTGCATCAAGCTGAGGAAACCAAAAAGGAAACTGCAAAAGACATTCGCATTCGAACTAAGTTGATAACAGATCTGGTCATGCAACTGACCCTTGAAAGAGAACGCCTTCACAAGCAGGTCATAACCTAGGATAAAATTGTATTACAATTTTTTCAATAGGAAGCTGATTATTACTTACCATGCCTTTGTTTCACTGTCTTTTTTCTTTCCCAATGATTTGGAATTTGTTTCTTATACCTAGGAGAGTAAAATGAGATATTTCAGAGGAGAAATGAGATTATGATGCATGCAAAATGATTTATAACTTGCTATAGATTAGATTGCCTGGCAAGCAGCCAGCAGCATACATAAATATTTTCACGATTTCAGTGGAAAACTTGGAAGTTCGCGGCTCAAATTGTGAGGGAAGTTTTCAGGTCAAAATATACTTTTGATTTGTTGGAGTTTGGAGAAAAAAATCTAGAAACCACCCCCAAACCCTTCATTTTTCCCATATACAATCTGCATATCTGTAGTTCTTGGTCAGCTTTTCATCAAGTTCCATGTTTTTTGCTTCAGCAACATGTGGATTGTTGTTGTTATGGTTTAGATTTTCCTGCTACTGAAGCTTTAAAGAAGTTTTTGGTTCTTTTTGATGGTCATGAGATGTGAATAGAAATTTCATTGAAGCTCATATAGAATTCTTTTATAGAAAGAATTAAGGTCTACACATCACTTTATTTGGCGAAACCTTAGATACAAGCAACTTTTCTATTTTTTTTATTTTTTTTTATATTTGGGTGGAGGAGGGGTGTTGTCCAGTAGTCAAACCATTTGCTGCACTTATATGTCTGACGGGTTTCACTATATGCTTTAACTGCTTGTCTACCTCTACAGTTGTTTGATGACAGATCTACGTCAATACTCCAACACCTATAGCTAGAGTGTTCATTCGAAACTATATATCTGTGGAGATGACGAAAAATTGTGAAGTTCTAGGAGTTTCTAGCATAGGACATCCAATATTATGTTTTTTTAAGTCCGAGATCTACATCCTCCTTTCTCCCCCTATAGTTCTACGACTATATGACTATGTTCTTTATCGATAGCTGGTTCTAAAATTGTAATTGGCAAATTTTAAGAGAAAGTCAGATGTCATAATGTGTATACATGAGCATTTCAACTGAATATATACTCAGTTGATTAATTACCGCTCTGCTTCCAACTAAATTTGCTCGTTGTGTTGTATGCAGATACATTCATTAAGAAAGGAGAATAAGACCTTGGTAAAGTGCTTACAGAAAACAAACAAGGACCCCTCTGGTACTAGGAGCCATGACAGTAGAGGAAATAGCAAAGCATTATGGCTTTCCAAGCATGATTTTACCTCTGTAATTTGCATGGAAGAAAGAAAAGAAGCAACCGAGTTTTCAGCTACCAGTTTTGAGGTATTTGTTACTTTGGTCTCTCTTTTTGTGCACTTGAATTTGTTGATTTGCATGCCCATGGGTGGAACCTGTGAAGATGTATTCAAACTGTGGTTGAGAAATAGCCTTTTGTGCGTGAGGCATCTGAAACCATATGTGCATTGCCTCCTACTGCCTTATTAGTGACCTAGTCACCAAGTGGAACACAATCTGAACAACCCAACACTGAGGCATTGCAAATTGTTCATGCACTGCAAATCTGTAAACATTTTTATGATTATAGCCTTATATGTGCTTGCAATGTGTCTGTCAGTCACAATGTCACCTCCAGTTTTCCAGTAGTTTGGTTTGCTTATAACAGGCTGCTTTACCAAGCATGATGCCTTCTGTTTTCATATTCCTCTCTTTTTTGAAGCTGTTGCTTTGAGTTGGAGCAGATTTGACTGGGACGTTATCCTACTNGCTTTACCAAGCATGATGCCTTCTGTTTTCATATTCCTCTCTTTTTGAAGCTGTTGCTTTGAGTTGGAGCAGATTTGACTGGGACGTTATCCTACTTTGTCAGTTAAGCAAGTTTTCAGGCAGCCGGGACCCCGACTGGGAGTATTATGTACTCGCTGGCCATATATTGTATCAACAAATTCTGTTGATTTTTTTGGCTTTCTTCCTGTCCTTGGAGCACCTTGAACTTAGTTGAGTTGTATTGGTGTTTTTCAAGAAACAACCTCTTCCACACGAGCTGTCCCTACCCTTCTTCCCCAAGCCCTCTGATGTGATTACATCCTCCAATCAGATCACCAATGCAAATTTTCTCTCTATAAAACCTGAATACTCTCTCCAACAAGAATTGTTATGGTTGACTGTTTCCAATTGATTTATTCCGCTACCATTGACGGCCACCATCAGTGTCTGCTGCTGTCTTCAACCTTAAGCTGCAAAAACCCATCCTCATTATCATTGGNCATCAGTGTCTGCTGCTGTCTTCAACCTTAAGCTGCAAAAACCCATCCTCATTATCATTGGCCTTACCCCTGATATTTCAAGTGCTGCCGCTGTTCAGATTTATCAATAAACAAATCAGACNGCTGCTGTCTTCAACCTTAAGCTGCAAAAACCCATCCTCATTATCATTGGCCTTACCCCTGATATTTCAAGTGCTGCCGCTGTTCAGATTTATCAATAAACAAATAGACTCTTTTGTTGATGTCTCGGAGTCTGAACTCTAATGAAGGGCAGAAGACTACGGCCCGTAAAAAGAGAGAAGAGACAAGCAAAAATCTCAAGTACTCTGTGTTATTCAATTATTGGTTCTTTGTTCAGTGTCTTTTTGTCAAATAGGTAGAGAATGCTGGCTTCACCCCATTGTAGAGGATGTTACATTAGTTTAAGAGTTGGTTTGAGTTCGACAGAAATATATTTTCTTAATAACGACATCTCATTATATGGAGGACAAAGTGTGTTCTACAGCAAATCCCTATAATCAGGTTCAGAGAAGGTAGGTTGTTTGTGTGAGTTTGCGTTTTTCATGGTTTATTTTTCCTCTGTTGAGAGAATGGTTTGCTTGTGTCCGCACTGGTGCCTCCTTGGACCTCTATACATATCTCGTTGGATAATTAGCGTACTTTTACCTGAAAGCTGTTTACTTCTAATCCAAGTTACTATATATTTCTTTTTCCTTTTCAGTACAATGGAGCAACCAGAAAACGTCTACATTTTACATACTCAAAACAAAAAGGAGAAACTTTATGTTACTGATTTCGATATGATTCCTTTTTGTTGTTTGTAACAGGAGGAAAAAACCCCAGTAAATGTTTCTGTACGCGAGACTGAAATGGGGGTTGCTGATTCTTCATCAAAGCTCGAGATTGTGCGGAATATAGATGCATGGCAGCTGAATTTTAAGCTTGTTTTTATTACAGTGCTTATGTTATTGGTTTCAGTCGTGGCCTTATTTTTGTTTCAACATCCTACCTACGGATTTTGACTGTAGTGTTGGATCTCAGCTTCCGACCATAGGAGTTTTTGTTTACCACTTATATAGAACTGTGAATGGGACGATACTGTCTTGACTTTCATGTTGATTAGTGAAAATCTTAGAGTTTCTTCCCCCGTGTTTTCCTCTCTTTTGGTTGAGTTGTTGGACCTTACAAAAGGTGGGGCAATTGAGGGGGAACTAATATCATGATCAGTAATTTTTGTAGCTGAGGCGATATCCTTGAAGCGAGGTTCTGTTTTTTAAGGGGTGGGGGGGCAAAGGACCTAGAGACTACTCCGATAGACTTTTACTAGTGAGATCATGAGACTTTTTAATCATACCTGTTACTTCTTTCGAAAATAAATTTAATTAGGCTAGTATAGCGGTTAATTACCGAACTGTATATAAACTCCAAGACTTGAACTTTTAACTTTAAAGTGAGAAATTTGAATGGTATTTTACTTGACTGCCCCACTCGACTGTGAAGCGAGGTTCCTTAGCAGGTGACTACATAGTGTGTGTGTGTGTGTGTTTTTTTTTTTTTTGGGTAAGAATCCTACATGCTGTTGAAACACAATTAGTTTGCTCTTTTTTAAGTTTAGTAGATAGTGTCAATGGTAAAAGAAAGTCCGCCCATTATCGTGAACAAGGGAAGCGCAGCATAACATTAGTTTCAATTGAAAAGCTCAACCTTGCTTTTCCATTTTTCTAAGATGCTTGTGGCTCTTTTAGCTTAATATGTCCAATAATGTGGAATTTGCCACTGCCAATGGCTGATGACCACATATATAGACTGGGGCAAGAATTGAAATTTTGTTATATGCATTATTTCAGTCACTTAAGAAACGAAAACGTTTCAACAATATTTCGGAAACAGATTAGAAACGAATAAAAATTTAGAAGTATATTTTCAAAATATTTGTCTAAATATACCAAAACATCTTGAATTTCCTTGAAACATGTCCAAACAATAGTAAAAATATTTCAAAACACCTTGAAATATTCTAAATATTAAAATTTCAATTCCCTCACTGATTCATTTCAGTCTTTTCAGAAAGGAAAACATTTCAACCCTTCTGAAATGATACTTTGAACATTGGAGCAGGGGTTATAACTTCTACAACACAAGTTTTTGTGTGTGTGATTGTTGGGGGGTTATATTATATCCCCAGAATTGAGTTAAACATAAAGATGCTCCTCAAACCAAGCAAGAGTTGCCAAAACATAACTATGCGAGCCAAGCAGAACCAACAAAGAAGTCAGTTTATTAGTTTCTAAAACTATGAAGAATAGTGGAACTTAACTGGACTCGATATAGAGTTTGCAACACGCCATACTGAGATTAAAGACAATAAGCAGTTCACAGTTACTTATTCCTAGCTCAAAGCAATGAGATAGAAAGGGCATTAACCCTCATTTGTACTGTCCCATGAACAAAACCTTCGGCACGCCTCTCTAATTACAGTTCCACTCTGTTAAATGGCTTGAAGGTGGGGTTATCGCCTTATCGGCTGCAGTATCATCAGAAATTTACCAAAAAGAAAGCATTATGCATGAAGATGAACAATGAAAGAAAAGGGGGCAGAGAAACACATATTGGAAAGGACAATCTTTCATATTTATAGACAAAATTGTACTTTATGTTGACTCCACCAACATCACCTGAATCATATATCAACAAATTAGTGAGTGATATTATACCTCAGATATAGCCCAATGACTAAAAGTAACAAGAAATCAGCAAGATATCTCACACACTGACATAATCACAGTACTATTTAAAGAGACAAAGTAAGAGTATTTTCGGAATAAAATTTTCGTGTAAATTGGTAATCACGATCTCTATGCTTTGTTACTTGAACTAAATTACCTACGGATCAGTTAACAACTGAAAGACATAAGCCTGCACGGAGAGGGATCTCTCTTGCCTCTTTGACGAATTCTGTTGGCATGTTCTTAATCTGCAACATTTGGAGTTTAGGAAGATTTTGAAAGCCTTTGGGTGGTAGCTTTAGTTTTGGACATTTAGCGATTAGCAGTATCTCAAGGCTTCCCATGGCACCATCCTCTATCTTTGTCCATTCCTCAAGCTCTTCCAGATGCAGAAGTGACAGCTTCTTGAGATTAGGAAAGCCTCCTGCGGCATCACAACAAATGAGCTTTCCTTTGTATGCATTCCGCAATGAAAGGACAGCAAGGCTGGGAAGATGTTGGAGGCTGGAAATTGGGTCATTTTGTAACATACAGTCCCACAGGTCCAAATACAAGAGGGACTTCAGNTTCCGCAATGAAAGGACAGCAAGGCTGGGAAGATGTTGGAGGCTGGAAATTGGGTCAATTTGTAACATACAGTCCCACAGGTCCAAATACAAGAGGGACTTCAGGGCACAGACCCAACCAATCAGATTTCTAACCCAACCCCCAACTCTTAACTTCTCCAAATTTTCAAGAGGATTGGATGTTTGTAACTGAATTTCCTTTCTCCAAGCACATTTTATGGTCAAGGAGTTTAGGTTTTTCAACTGATCAATGGATTTAGATAGCTGGAAAGAGGTTTCTCTCCCTTCAACCTCTCCAACTGATAACTTCAGGAGTTGAGGAAGGTATTTTAGCCCAAATGCTGTTTGTTGAGATAGTTTCATTCCTGCAAGTGTTTGGAGATCTTTAAAAAACATGATATCACCATCAAATTTAACTACTCTGTTGCTGAATGAATCTGCTAGAAGAAGATGTCTTAACATCTTGAGGCCATCAAATCCACCAGGTAAAGCCCTCACATATGTGTTCCTGATATCAAGCGTCTGAAGTTCATGCAAATTTACGAGGGATGAGGGCAGATTATAGATCCTTGTACCCCTCAAGCTCATATAGCGTAATAGAACAAGATTTCCAATTGCATCAGGCAAGGAATCAATTGGACTCTGTTGTAAGTCCAGCACACGCAGAAATTTAATATTTGGTAGTGAGCTCAATAAAATGGAAGGAGTCCAGTGCTCATTTCCAATGAATAGAAGTAGAGAATGGATTGATCTGGTGTTCAAGCTAGGTATGACATTTTTTATCTCACCATGTACTGCAAGGATACGAGTTACATCTGATGGCCAACTGGGCTGACTGCTGTTGGACACTATGCAAAAATTATCATTGTTCAACATTTGAAGGATAAAATCTTGCACAAAAGGTAGGGACCTACATGATATCACCTCCCCACTTGTAGCCACCGTTGCTATTTCAAGCAAGTTCCTTTGGATGAGCTCATCCAACAGATTCTTGGCAATTTCCTCTTCTGTCATTCCAAGCAGCTGTCTTGCTATAAAGCCCTCTGCAACCCACATACGGATCAACCTCCTAAATGAAATTTCATAATGATAGGGAAACAGCCCACTGTATAGGAAGCAGCATTTTAGCACAGATGGCAGGATAAAGTAGATTACTACGAAAACCCGTTGGATCAAGCTGGCACGAGGCCAAAATTCATCTGCCTCCTTCAGCATACGGAAAACCTTATCCCACTCCCCAGATTCCTCAAGGTTAGCCGTTGAGATCATGCCTCCAAAAATTGTAACAAGAAGGGGATTTCCTTCACAAATCTGCAAAATCTTCTCCACCACCGGTTCCAGCGAAGAAGGCCAAGAGGCATTGCCAAGGTCAGGACTTTGCCAGCAAGCTCTTCTGCGCAGCAACTCCAGGGCATCTTCATGAATCAATGGCTCAAGATGGAGAATATGTGTGCTTAGAACAGCAGGAAATGCCGAATTTCTTGTTGTGATGAGTACCTTCCCTTTGCATTTTGTGGTCAATTCATTCTCCACGTCTTTCCAGGTATCTAATGTATCCAAGTCATCTAGAACCAGCAAAAAGTTTTTGCCAAACAAATGATCACGGATCCTCCTTCTCAATTCTTTCTCATCCAATTGATCAAAACATTGTTTCTCTGTCATCTCGAAAGGGCTTTGGGATAAACCCATCAACATGCCTCTGAAAATATCTTTACTGGGACAACCAGAAACAAACACCCAAGCAGAACAATCAAAGTACCTCTTCACAACCTCATAAACTGTTTTTGTCACAGCAGTTTTGCCAATCCCACTATCCCCGGTTACTGCAACAAGATATGGAGTATTCACACCATCCCGAAGCAACCATTCTTCAAGCATTTTAACCTCTCTATCCCTCCCCACCAAGTAAGTCCTCGGCAGCTTACAAGCAAAGGTCTTCGAACGCCATATTGGATTATCATCTCTAGCTTCCACAGTAGAGTTCAACAAGGATACATGTTTCTTAACATTCATTTCCTTGAGTTTGACCGAGACCCGTTTCCGTAACAATGCAATGCTGACATGGGAACTACTATTCTTAGTCTTTCCATCAGTGAAGTAATTAAAAGATTCACCTACTAGTTCAAAAAGAGACGATAGAGAAAGACCTCTTGTCCCCATTCTATTGTACCAATCATCGTCGATCATGGTTTCAACTTCACACGCCAAATCAATGATATTCGAAACACATGTTTCAATTTCACTATCTTCCCTCATCAGCCTTTTCCAATCTGCATATTTGAGGAATGGCCTTATTCTCTCGAATTCGGCTTTGATCTTACCTACTTCAGCTGCTCTATGCTTGTTAGTCTCCTTGAAAATCCAATCCTCCAATTTCGTAACTAGATACTCGACTGCAATCTCAGCCATCTTTGTAAATTCATAAGAGAAGTTAAAGATTTCGCTCAAACTCAAAACGCTCAAATTGTAAGAAAATTAATCATCATTCAACCGTCAAATTAATATGAAAAANGTAACTAGATACTCGACTGCAATCTCAGCCATCTTTGTAAATTCATAAGAGAAGTTAAAGATTTCGCTCAAATTGTAAGAAAATTAATCATCATTCAACCGTCAAATTAATATGAAAAAATTGATGTTTTCACTATCAAAATCAATGGAGAGATCGAAGGTTTTTACCTTTACATTAAGGTGGAAAGATCATCAAGAGAGAGAACCCGCTCCTTCTGCCATCAATTTTCTTCCTCTCTCGCTCTTCTGAACATGGAATTTCTTCTTCTCTTTCATCTTGCAATTGGGCTACCAAAGATTAGGGGAAGAGGCAAGGCTACCCCCTACTTTCGAGTAAATATTGGACCTAACGATTCCACCATACCAGAAATGCTGATATGATCATTATCTAATAAGAAAACGAATAAAAAAAATAAGGTAGGGTCCACTTTTTTCGTTGGAAATAGATATTAATGACATGATTAGATAATTATGAATTTTAATGAGACGTATTTACCATTTGGAATAATCTCAACTTATACTTTGAAAGATTACNTTGGGCTACCAAAGATTAGGGGAAGAGGCAAGGCTACCCCCTACTTTCGAGTAAATAACGATTCCACCATACCAGAAATGCTGATATGATCATTATCTAATAAGAAAACGAATAAAAAAAATAAGGTAGGGCCCACTTTTTTCGTTGGAAATAGATATTAATGACATGATTAGATAATTATGAATTTTAATGAGGCGTATTTACTATTTGGATTAATCTCAATTTATACTTTGAAAGATTATTCAAATTTTAATTTGTATCCTGAAAAACATAAATTCGTATCAATGTTCACGCACCTGAGACTAACTCCATCCATTTTGCCGTTAAAAAAGTTTAGATTAATTATAAATTGTACCCCTCAAATTTAAATATTTCATATTTATTATTTAAAAAGAATTTCATCAATTAATGCTCTTAGCTTTTAATTGTGTCGTATCATATCATCTTCATATTGTGTTCGAGTCAATGAAAAAATATTTTTCAGTAGACACAAATCTTTTAATTGTCCAATTAAATTAAGATACAAATAACACAAGTATAGACACAAAATAGTTTAATGAATATTATAGACAAAAAAATAGATATTTTTCAATTTTAAAAAAATATTAAATAGTATTATGAATTGTCGTAAATGTGAAATATATGACACAATGCAATTGACTAGACATGAAAATATTTTTTGTGTTAAAAATATTTTTTTATTGATTCGCACACAACACAAAAATATTATGATATAATACAATTAAGAANAAAAAAATATTAAATAGTATTATGAATTGTCGTAAATGTGAAATATATGACACAATGTAATTGACTAGACATGAAAATATTTTTTGTGTTAAAAATATTTTTTTATTAATTCGCACACAACACAAAAATATTATGATATAATACAATTAAGAACTATTTAACAAGTATTAATAAATAAAATTCTTTTTGGAACATAAATTTGAAATATTTAAACTTTGAAGAGTACAATTTAAAATTAGCTCAAATTTTTTTAACATCAAACTAGATGACAGTTAGTTCCAGATATATATTGATACATATTTATATCTTTCAAGATATAAATTAATATTTTTAAACTTTGAAAGTATAAATTAAAATTCAAGTAATCTTTACCCCCTGTTTGGTTCGAGGGAAAATAGGGAGGATGGAAAATTAAGGAAGAAAAGTGGGAGGGAAGAAAAATCTTTCCATTGTTTGGTACGGAGAGAAAATGGGAGGGAATGGAAAAGAAATGTTTTTCCCTTAGCCCACCAAACATTTTTCCCACAAAAAANTTTACCCCCTGTTTGGTTCGAGGGAAAATAGGGAGGATGGAAAATTAAGGAAGAAAAATCTTTCCATTGTTTGGTACGGAGAGAAAATGGGAGGGAATGGAAAAGAAATGTTTTTCCTTGAGCCCACCAAACATTTTTCCCACAAAAAAAGGCGAAAAATATATTGAAAATGGAGGAAAAATGAGTTTTTTTGTTAATTAACTATTTTACCCACCACTCTCTTTAATCATATAATTTTTAGTATTTACCACATAATATAATTAGAACTTAACTTATTATGTTTGCTTTTATATATGTAATGGAAAATTTAATAATTAAATGTACATAATGAAAAAAATACATATAATTTCTAGTTAGATACACATTAAATAATTAAATGATAAAATAGAATATGAATTTTTGTTGTAAAATTTAAAATATTTAATATTTCATGTTTAATTGGAGTATTTTTGGTCTAAGTATAATATTTTAAATTTAAAAATGGTCAAAATATTATATACTTATAAACATTAGGGGGTTTAAATATTATGTACTTATAAAAAATCATGCGTTTTGGTTTATTTTCTTTAATCTTATTCATGTAATTAGATGTGAGGGTATAATTGTAAATTTGGNAAATTTAAAATATTTAATATTTCATGTTTAATTGGAGTATTTTTGGTCTAAGTATAACATTTTAAATTTAAAAATGGTCAAAATATTATATACTTATAAACATTAGGGGGTTTAAATATTATGTACTTATAAAAAAATCATGCGATTTGATTTATTTTCTTTAATCTTATTCATGTAATTAGATGTGAGGGTATAATTGTAAATTTGGTATATATATATTTCTTTTTCATCTATTTTTTCATTCAATACCAAACAAAAGAAAATGCATCCCTTCAAATTTTCATCCATCATACCAAACATACTGAGAAAAAATATATTTCTTCCAACTTTTCATCCTTATTTTCATCTTTCTAATTTTCTATTTTTCCAATTAAACGAATCTTTAAAGCTGCAAGTTAGNCATTCAATACCAAACAAAAGAAAATGCATCCCTTCAAATTTTCATCCATCATACCAACACATACTGAGAAAAAATATATTTCTTTCAACTTTTCATCCTTATTTTCATCTTTCTAATTTTCTATTTTTCCAACTAAATGAATCTTTAAAGCTGCAAGTTAGGATTAATCCTTATTAGTTTATCTATTTAACGATTACTGTGACATAATATAATAATTACACCTAATATTTCAGATGGCGGTTGGCACCATTTGGGGCTTTTCTAGCCCAGCCCATTTGTCAGTGAGTCTAGCATATAGCTCGATAATGCAAGGACATGGTGATACTATGAAATGTGTCAGAGCCCATCATTCCTAATCTAAAAGACAACGTAGAGCAAATTTACCTGATTCTTGCCGAATCATTTCAGATGTATGGGATCAGGCTACCCCTGACTTTGAGGGGCTCAGTCGGCACTTGGCAACATCTAGGACGTTTTCAGCCCAGCCCATTTGTCAGTGGGCCCAGCACACAGCTGACGATAATGCAAGACTGTGTACTGAAAAACTGCCACCTAATAAAACATACCAATGCTTATGCTCCGTTGATAGGGTACATGAAAAGTAAGGAGGATAAAAAATAGGAGGGATATATTTTTTATCCTTCAAGGATGAAAAGTAGGAAGGATACACTTTTTTTCCTTTGTGTTTAGTTGGATGGATAGATGAAAAATAAAAATGACAATTTTTTTTTTTTGGTGTTGGCTTAGATTAGGAGTTACAATCAATCAAGTCGAGTCGTGTCGTGCCGTATTAAATTTGTGTTAAGTCATTAAGAGTTTATATTGAATATTAGTCAAATTTAACTTTACTTATTTAATTAATTGTGTCATGTCGAGTTGTGAGTTAACCTGTTTATTTTTGTATCGAGTTCAAATCGTGTCATCGTGTTGAGTCGAAAATTTTCACCCTTAGTTAAGATGGAAAAAATATTTTTTTAATTTATTTTTAAAATTTTTTAAAATATATATACATATTTTACTATTGTATTTTTATATGAAATTAATTTATACATAAGATATATAGACAAATAAGATACATTTCAACAAAAATAATTAACTTTCTATCTATTTTCTTTCCGATTTTGATGAGTTGGAGGAAAAGTTAATTTAATCACTTTTTCATCATTTCTACTTTCTTTCCTTATCAAATATGATATTTTATTTAACTCTTCAACTTTTTATTCTTCTAATTTTTTATCCTCTTATTTTTTTATCGTACCAAACGGAACATTAAACTTGAACTTAATGATAATTACGAAATTTGTCCAACTTATGTCATTCTTAATCTAAAAGATAATGTAGAGCAAACTTACGTCAATCTTGCCGAATCTTTTCAGACAAGAGACAAGGAGAGAAGAACATCCCAATCCGATGTTGATTTTTCAACCACTACAGGACAGTCTTCCCAAGCTCTAAAAGACCAAGAGCTACTAATGATTACTGGTTTTTCTAGCTATGCTTCCTTGCCTTGTATAGCACGAGCCTGTGATATCCCAACAGAAAATTAAAAAATTAATAGTTTGTTTAATTAGAAAGAAGATAATGATTGAAAATAAAAATAAGAAAAATAAAACAGAATAAATTACATGCATATTGTTAGAATGATTTTTTTTTTTATTTTTTAAAGTAAGTTATTGAAAAGCTTCATGATATAATTTAAAAGAGTAATATAAGACTGATAAAAAAATATAAATTAAATGATGTAAAATTATCATAATAAAAAAATTTTAAATTTCATATAAATGAAAGTAGAACCAACAATATTATTATAATAATGCCACAAATGATGGTTCATTATTCTGAAAATTACAAAAAGAGGAAAAAATATAAAAATATAAAATGTAAATGAGCGTATAATACATGATCAAAATGAATGATGAAAACAAACTTATATTATCAATTCTAAATGATTAAAACATAAGACTTAGTCTGATTTGATTTATCGTTTTCATCATATGTCTCTGTTTATTCTGACAAATAAAATAGATTGAATGACTTAATTAATACAAAATTAATAATTTATAGTTAAATTGAAATAATTGAAAATTTAAACACTAATTATAATTTTTATTCTAGAAATAATTAATAATTTCCCCCCAAAAAACAAATTGCGGTAAGGCTTGGTGAGATCTTTCTCTCTCCTCCACCTGAAAGGCTGAAACACACCAAACAACACGTCAAAAGAACCAAAAGGTAAACCATTGAATTGAATCGAATTTCAGATCCTTCTTTATCAAATCGAAAAGACTCGCACGAAAGAATCGAACAAATCTACTGTAGATTTTCAGCGTTTTTTCATTCCTTCGATCTCTCAAAAATGGCGGACGTCTCTAGCCACCTTCAAGTTTTTCATCGTCAATCCAATGCCCAAGAACAAGAACCACTTGCAGATGTACAGACCGTGGACCTTTACGGTTTTGACTTCGCTCCTCCTTCTCCTCCCAATCGCTCTTTTTTTATGCCATCTCGTTCTGTTCTGCACAATTTCATCTCCAATTCGGAAGACACCGAATCTGATTGTTCGGATTCTGTCAATGATCCGATCTTTTATGCCGAAGAAGAGCAAATGTATTCTGTTGACTCTCACGAAGATTACGCATTAGATGATATAGATTCAGTTTCCGAACCATTTTTGGGTCCTCCGGATAATTATGCCTATTGTGGGAATTTCGGGTCCAGTCCCACTGATCATCTGGGCGGCGAGCTAGGGTTAGGATTTGGGATTGAATTTGATACGTTGGCTTTTGACTCTGACTCTGTAGGATTTCCGACCATTCGTGGNTTATATTGAATATTAGTCAAATTTAACTTTACTTATTTAATTAATTGTGTCATGTCGAGTTGTGAGTTAACCTGTTTATTTTTGTATCGAGTTCAAATCGTGTCATCGTGTTGAGTCGAAAATTTTCACCCTTAGTTAAGATGGAAAAAATATTTTTTTAATTTATTTTTAAAATTTTTTAAAATATATATACATATTTTACTATTGTATTTTTATATGAAATTAATTTATACATAAGATATATAGACAAATAAGATACATTTCAACACAAATAATTAACTTTCTATCCATTTTCTTTCCGATTTTGATGAGTTGGAGGAAAAGTTAATTTAATCACTTTTCCATCATTTCTACTTTTTTTCCTTACCAAATATGATATTTTATTTAACTCTTCAACTTTTTATTCTTCTAATTTTTTATCCTCTTATTTTTTTATCGTACCAAACGGAGCATTAAATTTGAACTTAATGATAATTACGAAATTTGTCCAACTTATGTCATTCTTAATCTAAAAGATAATGTAGAGCAAACTTACCTCAATCTTGCCGAATCTTTTCAGACAAGAGACAAGGAGAGAAGAACATCCCAATCCGATGTTGATTTTTCAACCACTACAGGACAGTCTTCCCAAGCTCTAAAAGACCAAGAGCTACTAATGATTACTGGTTTTTCTAGCTATGCTTCCTTGCCTTGTATAGCACGAGCCTGTGATATCCCAACAGAAAATTAAAAAATTAATAGTTTGTTTAATTAGAAAGAAGATAATGATTGAAAATAAAAATAAGAAAAATAAAACAGAATAAATTACATGCATATTGTTAGAATGATTTTTTTTTTATTTTTTAAAGTAAGTTATTGAAAAGCTTCATGATATAATTTAAAAGAGTAATATAAGACTGATAAAAAAATATAAATTAAATGATGTAAAATTATCATAATAAAAAAATTTTAAATTTCATATAAATGAAAGTAGAACCAACAATATTATTATAATAATGCCACAAATGATGGTTCATTCTTCTGAAAATTACAAAAAGAGGAAAAAAAAATATTTTTACGTGCTTAAATTATCTGTTCCTATTTTGAATAAGATAGTGAACCTAAAAAGATATTAAATCAATGGTGTTTATCACTTTATTATTATTTTTTTTTAAAAGAATAATTAGAAAGAACACGGAAACTCCTAGAAATAGTAAATCAGTTTCATTTTATTATTCATTTGTTCAAATTGCATTCATTTGTCAAACAAAAAAATTATTATTATTATTTTTTAAAATAAATTTATAACATTTCACTACACCATGTTTTAGAGAAAAAAAAACCTTTATGATGAAATCAAGTATAAAATTAAGGGAATATAACACAATCAATCCACAATCATTGCCTTCTATTTTAAATAAACTATAAATTTTGATTATTTCAATTTAATCTTTTAACTATTAATTATGCGTCAATAAAGTCATTCGGTTCAGTCCATCCATTAGAAAAAATAGAAACAAACCCATATATTTGTTATATGACCATTCCCATCATATATTGTATGAGTAGATAGAACTCAGAGAAAGATTAACAATAAGTTAAAAATTTAGAGAGAGACACTCAAGTCGAAAGAGTTTAAAATAAATAAGAATAAGACTAAAAATATGCAATGCATTTTTAGTAATAAAAGAAGTAGACAATAGTGAAAAAGTTAAAATTGAAAATCAAGAAATTTCAACGAGTAAATAATTTATATATCTAGAATCGATCAGTAAAAATAATGGAGAGATTAGAGATGATGTAACTCATAAAATCAACACTGGATGACTTAAGTAGAGAAAAGTCTTTGACATATTATGTGATATGAGGATACCAATAAAATTAAAAGATAAGTTTTATCGAACGGTTATAAGAATAACAATAATTGTATATGACATAATGTTAGATAACTATGAAACAACATAGTGACAAAATGAGTGTAACGAAAATAAGAATACTAAAGTAGATGTGCGAAAAAATTAAAAAAGATAAAATAAGCAATGACCATATTAGAAAAATAGTAAAAGTAACTTCAATTAAAAATAAGTTAAAAGAAAATAGATTAAAATAGTTTGATCATATTCAACGGAGGTCGATAGAGATAACATTAAACATTAAACAAAATAATAAAAATATCAAAAAAGTGAGATAATCTCTCTTAATGATACTAAAAAAAAGGGTAGATCTAAATTAACATTAAGCAAAATAATAAGAAAAAATATAAAAATATTTAATATAAATGAGCGTATAATGCATGATCAAAATGAATGATGAAAATAGACTTATATTATCAATTCCAAATGATTAATACATTAGACTTAGTCTGATTTGATTTATCGTTTTCATCATATGTCTCTGTTTATTCTGACAAATAAAATAGATTGAATGACTTAATTAATACAAAATTAATAATTTATAGTTAAATTGAAATAATTGAAAATTTAAACACTAATTATAATTTTTATTCTAGAAATAATTAATAAATTCCCCCCAAAAAAAAATTGCGGTAAGGCTTGGTGAGATCTTTCTCTCTCCTCCACCTGAAAGGCTGAAACACACCAAACAACACGTCAAAAGAACCAAAAGGTAAACCATTGAATTGAATCGAATTTCAGATCCTTCTTTATCAAATCGAAAAGACTCGCACGAAAGAATCGAACAAATCTACTGTAGATTTTCAGCGTTTTTTCATTCCTTCGATCTCTCAAAAATGGCGGACGTCTCTAGCCACCTTCAAGTTTTTCATCGTCAATCCAATGCCCAAGAACAAGAACCACTTGCAGATGTACAGACCGTGGACCTTTACGGTTTTGACTTCGCTCCTCCTTCTCCTCCCAATCGCTCTTTTTTTATGCCATCTCGTTCTGTTCTGCACAATTTCATCTCCAATTCGGAAGACACCGAATCTGATTGTTCGGATTCTGTCAATGATCCGATCTTTTATGCCGAAGAAGAGCAAATGTATTCTGTTGACTCTCACGAAGATTACGCATTAGATGATATAGATTCAGTTTCCGAACCATTTTTGGGTCCTCCGGATAATTATGCCTATTGTGGGAATTTCGGGTCCAGTCCCACTGATCATCTGGGCGGCGAGCTAGGGTTAGGATTTGGGATTGAATTTGATACGTTGGCTTTTGACTCTGACTCTGTAGGATTTCCGACCATTCGTGGGACAGAATCCAGAAGGAACGGCCTACGCGTTGTGGGAATGGAATCAGATTCTGATTCAGAGGAAGTAGAGGTGAATTCTGAGCCTCATGAAGGTGGAATTGATCGGGAAGGTGATTCAGATTTGCCAATAAATTTCTGGGATTGCCTTCTATTCAATGATCAAAGGGAGTTCGATGAAGAATTGGAGTGGGAGGAAGTGAACGAAAGGGCTGATGAGAGGGAAAGTTTGAGTTCAGTGATTGATCGAATTAATGAGATATCAGTTTCCATTTCATCCCAAAGTTCCACTTTTGGAGAAGGAGAAGATGGTTCGGTTGATGATGGGGAAGAAGTGGTTCGGAATTTGGAATGGGAAGTTCTTTTGGCAGTCCATAATTTCGAGAGAAACCTTGAATTTGAGAACCATTGGGATGGTGATATCCATGAGGTTTCTCATTTGGCTATCGATGAAGGTTATATATACACACCTGAATACGATACCCTATTCGGGCAATTTGTAGAGGGTGGGAGTACATTGAACGGTAGTCCTCCGGCTGCCAAATCCATTATCGAAAATCTTCCATCGGTGGTGTTGACAAAGGATGATTTAAAGGAGGACAATGTGGTTTGTGCTGTTTGTAAGGATGAGATTGTGGTGGAGGAGAGAGTGACAAGACTTCCCTGTTCTCACCATTACCATGGATGCTGCATTGTACCATGGTTGAGTATTCGTAGTACCTGCCCTGTTTGCAGGTATGAGTTGCCTACAGATGATGCAGATTATGAGGAGAGGAAGAATGAAAGGGGCGGTAGTCGTGGCGTGGTAGATGATTTGCAGGTCAGATCCAATTTTGAACTTGTACCTTGAAATTATATTTGGTATATGTGTGCATGTTTTTAGATACAGTCCATTTCATTTCAGTGATGATGAAAAATGTTTCGATGATTTTTAAGATGTATCAATGAGAGGCTGCAGATGTGTGTAGTGAATTTCATGGAATTTGGTTGCAAATGTGTGTATGATACTTTTGTATTGAGTTTCATGGAATTTCCTCATTGGAAATACTTTTTACAAAAGTTTGATGTAGCTACAAATTTATGATCAGGTTTTGTTGAGTGTTGGTGTATTGTAATAAGTTTCACTTTTGTTTTTATAGAGCAATTAGGATGTCTTTTTTCACCAGTTATTAACATTTTTCAAGTTCTAATATCTTATTGGACATAACATCCTCCGCATCTTCAAATTTCGTATCAAAACTGTTATTTGTGAAAAAAGGAGAAAAAGATGCATGCAAATAACAGATAAAATGAAAAGTGAGGCCCAAAAGCTTATAGACAGGCTGTGGAGAGAAGAGGATTATGTTATAAATTCTGCTCTTATGGAATTTTGATGGTTGAGTCCGGTTGATGATTCTATCTGTCAAGGAGTTTTTTTTTTATATAGGTTACGGGGAACTTGAACTTCCGTATTCTGTTAATTAGATGTTAAGTTCATTCACATCATGTTTGAAAATATTCATTTTGCAAGTCATTTTTACTTTCATTATAAAACAAGTCAAAGAACTTCTGTATTGTAGATTTCTATATTGGTTTGACTGTGTTATATGAGATAGAACAAGCCATGAGCAGGAACTTTCTCAAGTTGTTCGTAAATGGAACTTCCTGCAAAAACTGATGCAAGTATGTCAAGGTGAAGACTGGCAAAAACTTAGTTAGGGAACTTCCTCTTCCGGAAATCGGCAAAATATAATGTAGGGGATTTATCCGCGCGTTCGGGATGTCCTCCCCCCACAGAAGGATTTCGGCTTGACCTGGGTTAACCCACGCGGGCGACCCCCCAGTAGCCTTTACCCCTCAGTGCCCGCAGGAGCTTCGTCCCACATCGACTGAGAGTCGTCTCCCCCCCTCGCATATAAGCCCTTGCACTCAAAGGAGGAGGTACCCACTAGGCACCTGATCAGGGTGCCTAGTGGGTACCTCCTCCTCAGGTGCCTAGTGGGTACCTCCTCCTTTGAGTGCAAGGGCTTATATGCGAGGGGGGAAGACGACTCTCTTCCGATGTGGGATTGCCTTAGGAAAGGGTCCTATTGGCAAAGAGAGGTAAAGGCTACTGCCGAACGCGCGCAGGTCAGCTGAAATCCTTCTGTGGGAGGAAGACATCCCGAACGCGCGGATAAATCCCCTACATATAAATATCAAATGTAAACACCACTTATAGCAGAACTATTGTTATGTCCACTAGAAGAGGCTAGGAGAGGTTAATGTTTTTAGCTTTTAGGTATCTTGTGAAAGAAATAATATAGAACTCAAAAATCATTTCACGCCGAAGTGGGATGGACAGACTGGTGTTCTTAACCTAAGACACTGTTCTTGAATTTTATGAAAAGAACGATGTTAGCTTGTAGGTTCTCTTGTAATCTGAAGTGGAGCTGGTGAACTTGGAAGAGGCCCCTTTCACACTCCAACCTTAAGTTATGTGAAAAGCTTTGAGCTGAATCTTTATGGCCCATGATACTCTGCTTTATTAGCTCCGAATTCTGCATGTTCTGCTGATACGGTTTTACTATGTAAATGCTATGTGTGAGTTGCTTGTGGTGGATTACCATTAAAATCTTTCTTTGATGTTCGAATGCTGCATCTAAAGTGAACTCTGTTTCATAAATTCCTGTAGCATCAATTACAAAAAAAATAAAAAATTAGGTCAGATCAANCTGAAATCCTTCTGTGGGAGGAAGACATCCCGAACGCGCGGATAAATCCCCTACATATAAATATCAAATGTAAACACCACTTATAGCAGAACTATTGTTATGTCCACTAGAAGAGGCTAGGAGAGGTTAATGTTTTTAGCTTTTAGGTATCTTGTGAAAGAAATAATATAGAACTCAAAAATCATTTCACGCCGAAGTGGGATGGACAGACTGGTGTTCTTAACCTAAGACACTGTTCTTGAATTTTATGAAAAGAACGATGTTAGCTTGTAGGTTCTCTTGTAATCTGAAGTGGAGCTGGTGAACTTGGAAGAGGCCCCTTTCACACTCCAACCTTAAGTTATGTGAAAAGCTTTGAGCTGAATCTTTATGGCCCATGATACTCTGCTTTATTAGCTCCGAATTCTGCATGTTCTGCTGATACGGTTTTACTATGTAAATGCTATGTGTGAGTTGCTTGTGCTGGATTACCATTAAAATCTTTCTTTGATGTTCGAATGTTGCATCTAAAGTGAAATCTGTTTCATAAATTCCTGTAGCATCAATTACGAAAAAAAAAAAAAAAAAATTAGGTCAGATCAGGATGAACTAAGCTGTATCTTTTGCATGTATAGCAATCTGATATATGGGTGCGATAATTTTAGTTGAATTATTCATAGGAGGGTAGTTTTTTGGAGTTACGGGGAAGATTGCATTGGCAACATGTTTGACAAATATAGCCAGCTGATTAATTTGAATCTCCACAGCTTTGGGGTTTCTGTAACAGAATTTAGCTACTGGTTCTTGCCCAGATACTTGAGATAGGAATAGACTTTCATTGGGAGTTTGCTTGTTCTATTTGCAACAAACCAACAAGGGGAACACTTATAGCTATCCAACTAGGGGTGTCAATCGTGTGATCCACGTGCCGTGTATTTTTGTGTCATATCATTGTTATTCGTATTGTATTCGTGTCAAGACCTACAAAAAAAAAAAATTATTTAATGTATTCTAAATATTAATCTAGACTCTTTATTATACGTATTTAATAATCATGTCAATTTTATAATCATACGTGTCGAGTACGTATCAACAAATCAAAGTTGACATCCCTACATCCAACAATCTAGAAATGAAGAGAGAGAGAGAGAGAGAGAGAGAACAGAGTTTGCTTGTTCATCTTGTGCTATAGTATGATTAATTTTTCTGTATTTTTTTTAAAGAGAGTGTGTCCTAATGTTTATCTTAAAATATTAAAATTGATCCAAAAAAATTTAATGGTAACTTGGTGCCAAATTCACTACTTTGTTCGTTGTTCACTAAAGATATGTTTTCGACTAATATTTTATTGTGGATTTAATTGCCTTCAGCATAACACCACCTAACAGACGATATCCTGTTTCATATAATCCAACAATTGTGCACTAAGATTCTTCAGATTTGACACTCACACTTCGTCATGTGGGATGGAGCCTTTAGAACCTAATTGCGGACATTAAGTCTTATCCAATGTAGTCGGACTACTAGTGTTTGTTTGGTTCTCGAAAGCTTCAAAGTTGGTCGAAATCTGATTCTTGTGCATCGTTGAATGTATCCTGAGGTGAAGTGGCCTATCTATCTCTCATTTTTCATCCACACCCTTAGTTACCCTCCTCAGGCATCTCTGTTATGAATATACATAACAAGGTTTAAGTTATGCTCTTGGCACTGTTTTTTTTTTTTGTTGGGTCAAATTATAAATTTCATTAAAATAAAAATGTCAAAGCTTTACATTGTGGCTATACCCTATACCTATTCTAGCTTCTTTGAAAGAGGATCTGTATCAATTGCCATGGGGGGAGAAGACTGCCAATTAGGAGGCAGTGTACCTTGCCTGGATAGCATGGTCAGAGGATGGGCTGCTGAGTTGCAGGATCTCCTTGTGTGTTTGAAAATAACTTTGGCTATACCTTTAACATAATGCCTTTTATCCGGTTGAATAGCCTCAATTTCTGTTATGCTTGATGTTGGTCCTTGGTTGGGGGAATCAATCAAGGCTTTCGAGTCAGATTTGATGATAACTTCCCTGTATCCTTCATTCACTTCATTGAGTGCAATTGAACAAACTCTATGCACAGTACAAGGTTTAGCTGCCAAAGCTCCTGTTACAAGCAATCCTTCATGGTCGCGTGCCATTATTGCATAAGATGCACTACTACTTTAACAAAAAATTCCATCACAGTTGATGTTCATCCAACCCATCGGAGGCTGTGACCAATCAATTTCGACCAAGTTTGGGTTGCTTTGTGCAAGAACTTCATGTTCTATTTTGTCCATCTCTGAGAAGACCTCCATTGCTTGAGAGATAACCCTACTATCACTTGGTTGTTTGTGTTGATAGATCCACTCATTACGTAATTTCCATATGAACCATCATAAGAGAGCAATCAAGGACTGTATTGGGTGTTCAATGTTGCAAGTCTGTGTCTTTTCTTCCAATTGCTCTACAAGTCAATTCTTCATTCTTGATAGTCCACATCTATCAATAGTGAGTCCAAGGAGAGATTTTTTCCATACTGTGGCAGCCCAAGGACATAGCAAAAGGAGATGTTCCAATGTTTCTTCCTCGTCTCCACAAATTGGACATGACAGATTATTTATCAATTTCCTTTTCCACAACACCCATCTAGTGGGCAGTGCGNTAGACTCTTTATTATACGTATTTAATAATCATGTCAATTTTATAATCATACGTGTCGAGTACGTATCAACAAATCAAAGTTGACATCCCTACATCCAACAATCTAGAAATGAAGAGAGAGAGAGAGAGAGAACAGAGTTTGCTTGTTCATCTTGTGCTATAGTATGATTAATTTTTCTGTATTTTTTTTAAAGAGAGTGTGTCCTAATGTTTATCTTAAAATATTAAAATTGATCCAAAAAAATTTAATGGTAACTTGGTGCCAAATTCACTACTTTGTTCGTTGTTCACTAAAGATATGTTTTCGACTAATATTTTATTGTGGATTTAATTGCCTTCAGCATAACACCACCTAACAGACGATATCCTGTTTCATATAATCCATCAATTGTGCACTAAGATTCTTCAGATTTGACACTCACACTTCGTCATGTGGGATGGAGCCTTTAGAACCTAATTGCGGACATTAAGTCTTATCCAATGTAGTCGGACTACTAG